AAGCAACTCTTAGCAAATACACAGAAGTAGAGATACTACCCTGCATTCTGTCAGATAATAATGGAATGAAATTAGAGATCAATGAGAAAATAAATAATAGAAGCTACTCCAACACCTGGAGACTAAATAATATGCTATTGAATGAACAAAGGGTTGCAAAAGACATCAAAGAGGAGATTAGAGGGAAATGAGAACACTGATACAATATATCGAAATCTCTGAGACACTGTGAAAGCAGTACTAAGAGGAAAGTTCATTGCATGGTATTCATTCCTTAAAAGAAGAAAAAGTCAACAAATAAATGACCTAACATTACTTCTCAGAGCCCTAGAAAAAGAAGAACAAATCAATACCAAAAGCAGCAGAAGACAAGAAATAATTAAAATCAGAGCTGAAATCAATAAAATTGAAACAAAAGAAATAATTCCTAATCCATTTCTTAAAAAAATAATTTACTTCAAATCAAAACTATATTTCTGCACCCATCAAAAATATCATTCTGTATGTATTTTAATTATAGAAATATTTTACTGTGGGCATTATTCTACAATTTAGTCCTCAACAATTGTTTTTAATAGTTACTTAAGTTTAAATATTTAATATCATTTTATTATTTTGATAGATGAGTTCCATTGGAAGAAGAAATCAGTTTGTCTATTCTCTTACTATGGAAAATAGTTCTAATAATTTTTTCTGATTGAAAAACTTTCTATTGAAGCATTTTTGAAATGTTAAAAGAAGGAACCTCTGAAAATCTGATTGTTTATAAAAACAATGGGAACAAAAGCCAAATTGTCAAAAATCAACCTTTTCAGAACTCAGGATGTTAAGCTATAAGAATAACCTGAAGTATGCTCACTCAAGAAAAATGACTGAATCTCAGTAAAAATACTGGGTTTACAGTGACTCAGTTGACCCCATTCCCATCCTCTTCTCTTACTCCACAGTAGACTTACCAACCTCACAACCCTACAGCTACGACATCAGCAGCCTCACCACCACCCCAGAGGGTGGGAAAGGCGTGGCCTCCCTCACAATCAGGAAGCTATCACAGTCTGCCCTGTCTGGCATCTCCCCAGGAAAACGTCAGCCACAGAATCCGTCTATACCTGGTCTGACTGAGCTCATTCAGCACAACAGCTCTGTTCCCAGAGCACTTGTTAAAAACAGTCAGTGGCCATCGTTTAGCTGTGCTGTTGTCTTCGATGACAATTCCAACGGTGGCAAACAAGCATCTGACCAAAAAAGCTTAAAAGGAGATTTTAGGAATAAAATGTCCACAGGGGCTTTGAGACCTCTGACATATGCCTGGGAATCCGGAAGTGGGTTGGTCATGTGCAGGAAGCTCCGAGGAAGACCAGAGGAGGCTCTGCTCACTCACAGCCGACCTGGGGCTCTTTGCATTCAGTAAGGAAGAGTCAAGGCAGAACTGTGAGCTCCTGGAAGTCTGAAGATGGAGGCAGGATTAGACAGGCCGTCAGTGCAGAGGTACACGGAGTGGGGTCAGATCAAGGAGGCCAATTGGACTGCCCCTGAGAGACTGAAGTGTGAATTCCTTCAGAGCCCTTCCCCCCACCCCTTACCAATCCAGAACCACCCCCTGCTCCAACCTGTTGCTGAGGTAACCTGTCCAGGAATGGCCCTCCCTACAGGGAGTATGAAGTTGTTCATGTGTCCTGGGCTGCTCCATCCTGCCCTTCCCCCTCAGCCCACCTGGTTCCCACCTTCTGGCCATCCCACCCAGCACCCCTGGGCCTAGTCACGGACACCTGAAGGAGAGAGACAAGGGGAGAGGACAGGAGGACAAAGGCAGCCTAGGAGATATAAAAGGGCAGAACCCCTCACTTCTTGGGATACTAGGAGACCAGCTATGGCCCCCTTCTCCCTCCCGGGAGAAGTCTATGTTGTCCCTTTTTGAATAAACCCTGCCTTATATGCTTGCCTCGGCGAGCTTCTCTAGTGTTATACTTCAACACTGAGGGAGCAGAACTCGTCACCTGTGACCAGCAGTATCAAAGACATCAACACACACACACACACACACACACACACACACACACAATCAGCCCCTGGCAAAGGCCATAAGACTTACTGATCCAAAACCCTTAAGGGATCTTCTGTCCAGTCCTTATGACCACTGAGCTAACTGAACAGAGACTTCAGCAGCCCTCTATGACAATGATACAGACTTTATAAAATTAGTCCAGGAAAGTTGATACTTAACAAAATAAAACCAGTATCTAGAACAACAAAAAGTATAAAAACAAACCCTAGAGGGAGAGTGGATCTTATTTCCAGAGCAACCACATTATGCTTTTTTACAGGTTCAGGTTTCAGAGAGCAGCAGCAGCCAATTGGACCCCGGTATATCCCAGCAGGGTGCCACATCCATTCCAGAATGGAATATCTGGAGCTCTTGGTTGCTATGACAAGTAACAACACTTGAAAGGATTCTCGTGGTTGATAACTATCCAAAGTGCTTCATCTTTGGTTAAGAAGTCACATACGAGATTTTCTAGTCAATACTTTGTATTGGCAGCAATTATGCGGAGATCACAGACAAGTAAGTGACTGTTTTGTGTTGTTGCTGCTGCTGTTGTTTTGTTAAGAGAAAAAACTGTAGATATATTTGAAAATCTCTTCTCCACAGCCCTCATCTAGAATTCTTATCTGATTTACCAATCAGAAAAATTCATTTTCATTAGTCAATTCCCTAACTTCATGTCGTCTTAGGTTTCCCCCAGAGCAACAGAATCTATATGTAGAAATTGATTTACCATCAGATATTGGCTCACATTATTACAGAGGCTGAGAACCCCACAGTGCTGTCTGTAAGCAGGTCCCAGGAGAGCAGTGGCATAGTGTGGAAGTCCATGAGCCAGCAGGTGACACCGCAGTTCTAATGGCCTGAGATACAAGAGTCTGCAGGCCGGAGAGAGCCAACGACAAGCTGAACCGCGTTCTGCCCAGTGGTTCCACTCAAGCCCTCAGCAAAGCACACAGGCCCAAGCACACTGGAGAGGGCCTGCATTACTCAGTCCACCAGTCCAGACGCCACTCTTGCCCCGACTAGTCCTCCCAGGCACAGCCAGAAATATGTCTAATCCAATATAGAGAATCTGGGGTCAAGACGACACACAGCATCAACCTTGGCGAGGTCTATGTTCTCTCCCACCTTCTGACCACGTCTTGCCTACCCAGCAGGCATTCGGGGCACTAAGGTCACTCTGGCTCTCTACACCACCTATCAGTTGGTACCCATCAAAGTGCTATTTCACTCCAACCCACTCAGATCTGAAATTGCATTTCCCTCCAGAGAACACGTCATCCTCCTCACTGAGGCTAGATCTCAATGAATAGAGACACAGAGGAGATAATCAGCTACCAGAAAACTCCCGAGATTAAACAATTTAAACATCAATTTTAAAAAAGACCATACCTTATTAAATAAATCACATATATAAAAAGGATAGCTAAGATGGTAATATGGGAAATACCCTAAGCCTAAAATCCCTTGGCATTCAGTCCTGTGAGAATTTTAAAGAACAAACTGAGACTAAGATCATTGACATACATTTAACAGAATATGGAAAGTTTGGAAACAGCAATAAAAGTGCTCCAGCTAAGAACTGGGGCTGAATCCTGGGGAAACACCACCTGCCTCAATCAAGGCTTTTGTTCACATTTGGGTCCAGAGAGACTTTCTTTCCTGGAGACACAGCTGATTGCTTCTTGGGAGACGAGAACATGAAGAAGGCAGGACGAGGCGCTCAGGCAGAGGAATGGGAATGGGACCTGCACCCTGAAGGACCCCCTTGGGCTCTGACTTTGAACCCAGGAGAAGCCTGTGAACCTGGAGAGAGGAAAGTACACAGACCAGCTGTGGTCGGCGAGTGGCACAGGGCGAAGGAGGCGAGGTCCCAGCAGCTCTGGATCACCAGCAGGACCACCAGAAGCTACGCAGGGCCGACAGAGCAAACGGACATCAAACTCTGACGGAGACCTGCAGGCGTCCGACTAGAAATCGCCTGTCCAGAAAAAAGTAACCAGTAAAAAGGATCTAAACTAAGAGTTCACAAGAAAGAAGTGGAAAAGTGACCTAAAATGAATGAAGTTAAGGAACTCTGGGAAAATATTGTCAAAAAGCAGATAAGTACTTAAAAAAAAAATTGAATGGACCAATTTTGTCTATAAAGTGAGCTCAAAGTAGAGCTGCAAAAATTTAGGGAAGAGCTAGTGCAACTCAGAAGAGAATTGGAAAATACTCTCAGAAAAACAAAGGCTCTGCTGAAAACCGCACCCCCCCCCCCCCCCCCCCCCCCGAAATAGGCAGTGCTCAAAACCTGGCAAGGAGCACAAAGGTAAGACCTAGAGCAGAGATCACCCAAGAGGCCAAAGTGACAGAAGAGAACACAAATTTAAGTAAAATTCTAATGAAACTTTCCAAGAAAATATAGATTGCATAATGGACTATGTCCCTAAATTAACTCAAAACCATCAAAGGAGAGTTACACCCTTATAAGGTCAATCATCTCAGAGATAAGCAAAGAATCCTTGGGAAATCCAGGAAAAAGAAAAGCTTCAGTGAATCTTCATGGAAGAAAACAGCGACAACAAGAAACCCACCTAACCTTGGGCTTTCCCAGGGCAGGGCCAGGTGGCCATGCAGCAGCCTCTACAACCCCAGAGGAGAACAAGGTGGCTTGAGGATGTCACCCCTGGCCAAACTTTCACTCAGAAAAGCACAGCCAGCTATCTAGCACATGACAAGGAGTCAAGGGACGTGATTCCTTGGAGCCCCCCGAAATAAAATAGAAGATGCATTTCAACCCAATGAGGATGAAGAGAGAAAGCCTGGCTGTAGGTCCTGGATCTATTTAAACATAGCACTAAGGCATAGAGGATGGGGAGGTTACTGTCACCAAGCTGAATGCAAATGTTGAAAACCTTGAAAGTATATGCATGACTTAACTAACAAAATTATACAGGAAGTAGAAGCTATGAGGGAAGGTAACGTAAGCACACAGATTTCTTCTTCACTGAAACTTGGAAGTGATTAAGTAACCATGAAAATGAGAACAAAGACATAAAAGTGCCACTTAGCAATTTAATCAACTAAAATCGCTCAAAAAAGAGGCAGGAGGAAATGAACCAATCCCATCTTTGCTCACAGTTGGGAATCAACAGATTCTGAAGATTTTGAGAAACATTCTAAAAAGTTATAGTCAACCTTATCACCGTCACAAGAGGACAAACCTTTCATATTAAAGGAAAACATGAACACACCACACACAGACACACACACCTGAGGGTGAAATTGGATTGAACTCACCTATTAAGAGAAAGGACTTGGTTACATTGTTAATAAAACCCAGCAACATGCTACATACTGGTAACACAAATCTCTCAAAAGGCTATAAATAAGTAGATGGGGAGAAGTCTATAAGAAGTGGAAGAACAAGAGCTTAGCAGAACTGGGGAAACTTAATTCAGACTGACTCAAATTCCGGGATATGAATTAAGCTTTAAAGCATAAAATGTGATTCCTATAAAAGCATCACATAATAAGAAGGTTCATAATCCATAATGAAGATAATTATGAAAAATCTACCTGGTAAAAAGAATTCCAAGGTGGCCCAAATGCCCCTGCCCTGAGACTCATGACTTATACAAATCCCTCTTCCTTGAAGATGAAAAGCTGAGGAAAGATGTGGTCTGAGGCTCTGAAGATGATGGCGGGCAATGGCAAAGGGGTGCTACTAACCAGTTAAGTAAGGCTGCTAACCAGTTGTCTTAGAGATCATCTGCAGGGGGCCTGAGCTCATCATATGAGCCTCTTAATTCTGGGTCTAGACTGTTGGAAAAAAAACAGACAGTGGTAGCAGGAGAAGGCAGGGAACAGTAGACAGCTTTCAGGAGCTGACTGGTGCCCTCAGCCATGGCCACCAAGAGAACAGGGCCCTCTGTCTGACAGGCTCAGAGCAGCGAGTTCTGCCAACAACCTAATGGTCTTGGAGGAGGACCCTGAGCCCCCGAGGAGAGAGCCGTCCCAGCTAATACCTTGTGTTGCTGGGTGAGGCCCTGAGCACAGAGGCTAAGCTGAGAAGGAACGTTCTGACCTACAGAAGCTGTGCAATAATAAATGGGTATTTTATAAGCCATGAAATTTGTGGCAACTTGATACACAGCAGTCGAAAAATAATACCATTGCCACAACATAAAACACAGTAGCATCAAAATTGATAGGACAAAATAAAATCATAGGAAACTTCCATGTTTTTATAAAAATATCTAATATTGTTTTGCAGTTTTTAGTAGAAGAATTTGATTCTCCTTTGTCAGCATGGCATTGATGGGTTGAAAATCAAGTAAGGCTGTAGGAAGAACAGGGAAAGATAGAGATGCATGTGGGAGAGAGAGAGAGAGAGGGACCCACCTGTCAATCTTTATCCATGAAAACAGGGAATAGACCTTTGTCCCCAATACCTATAGGACATTCACAAGAGTGAACATGTATTAGACTAGACATTTCTATATAAATTCCAAACAGTAGACTAGCAGACATATTCTCTGATCACAAAGCAAAGAAATTTAGAAACTAACAAGTTTAATGTACTTCTATTTTCTACTAATACTGTATGGTACTTCCATAAAGGCATGGAGAGGGGGGGCTGGCTTTCTGTTTCTCATATCAAGAAATTAGCTACATATCTGTTTGTTTAAGAATTGTTATCAAGTATAGATTTAAAATCTTTGAAATATTTTCTATTTAGTGTTGTTCAGTAACAGCCACAGTGAGCTCATCTGCAGAGTGTGAGTGTGAGTTTGTGTGTTTGTGTGTGTGAGAGAGGAGAGAGAGAGAGAGAGAGAGACTCTAGCCTCCAGGTGGGGGTTAGTCCCACTGAGGTGAGAGGGCTGTGCTCGCTGCTGTTAACCAGTCCCCTCCTCTCCGGCAGTGAGTGGCCTCCAGATTCTGCAGTCCAAAATGAAGTGGCACCACCTGGTACGTGACGTTCTGTAGGACATCGTGGTAACTGGGATCTCCCGAGGGAGAACTCGTTCGCCGACTCTTACACGGATGTTACAAGTAACATTTCGGGTGCATGAGTGGGGGGAAGGACACAGGCAAGCTGGCTGGACCGGCTTTGCCCTCGGTCCCCCTGCAGAGCTCTGCTCTCGCCAGCCCACTGTGCCGGGAAGTGGCTTCGCACTAATGCAGAGCGTTGAGGTGTTGACCCCTCCTGCGATTCCCCCACCCTCCATCTCCCAGGGCCCGCCCAGTCTCACATCCTTTGCTCCCATCCTGGGGACCCCTCTCAGCCAGCTCGGCCCCCGCCCAGCCTCAATGATGGTCTCACTCCCCAGTTTGACAGCCTCACGACTTGCTTCATTCCTTTTTTGTTTATCTTATTCTGTATTTTTTTCCTTAGACTTTTGGACAGTTTGCTTGTCTGTCATCCCTGGAGGACAGAGATTGGGATTACCTCTCTCTGTGTTCCCTACAATGTGACACAGTACTGTCACTGTAGGTATTTATCTAGCGTTGTAAAAAATGGATTGAAATCTGGAGCCTTTGATAAAACCTACCACCATTTTTATATTTAAGTTTAAATTGACACAGAAGGCACAGGGAAAAGCTACCATAAGATATGCAATTTTTCTCCCTTAGAAAGAAGAATGGGCCCATATGTCGGTTAAACCATGTATAGACCATTTCTTTAGGAGTCTGTGGTCAAAGTCAGTGATAATTAAAACAAAACATTGATGACTTTTTTGATGGACAGGTTCACTTTGCCTGCCAGGATAGGAAGACACTTGACAAAAAAACCGGCTGTTCAGTGATGTTTCATCACTTTCAAATTGTTAACACCATTAGAGACCAAATGTACAGTTTAGCATTTCATTCACTCAGTCTTTCATTTATTTAAAAAATATTTATTGAGTATCTACTATATGCCAAATATTATGCTATCATTTTGAGACACAAAGTAGAACTCAAACATTAGCCTCAAATTGCTTAGAGTCCAATGGAAGAAAAATAAAATAAGTCAGTATTAGAAATTGCTGTAAGCTGCGGGGATGTTACAGGAGGCAGGGTGAGAGAGGTACACTTACTTAGAGGGAGCTTCTACTTAGCTTCAGGTTAGGGAAGACCTGGCTGGACTTTGAGGATGAGTGGAGCACCCAGATGAGGGTCAAGTACATTCCAGGGAAGGAACCTGGGAAGACCCAGGGAAAGAAACCAGCAACATACATTGTAGATTTTACATATGATTCTCCAGAAGTAGATGCTAAGATAGAGACTTGCGTCCAGGAGATTTGCTGGATTTGCTCCTGGGATCAGTTCCTGGGGAGGAGGGGTGGAGAAGGCAGGCTTGCAGGGCGAGGAGCTGAAATACAGGGAAGTGCAAAGCAGGCTTCAACTACCCCCACAGGAGCTTTGGAGCTGAGGTGACCTTCGCTTTGCCCTTGGAGGCAAAGGGGCTGAGCCTTTATGTCACCCAGGCATCAGAGTCAGGTTGCCAGAGGGGACAATCGACTGGGGGAAGTTTCAGACCAGAGAGAGCTCTCAGCTCCCAACACTCCCAGCTGCTGGGGAAACAGCGTTTCAGTCCTGAGGTGGAGAGGGCTGGTGCAGACAGAGATTGCATAGCGTCCATAACTGACCTCTGTGGGGGTGCTAGGAGCTGTGGATGGGTCGTGGGCACAGACCCGGTCGTGAAGGTTCCTTTGGGTTTGCTGAGAGGGCCGAGCTGTGGGACCAGCTGCACCAAGGGAGTTGAATTGCTCCAACAACAGGGGAGGTGCAGAGTGACAGACCCTTCACAGGCGAGCAGGTGCAGGGCTGATGGACCTGGGCAGCAGGCTGCTGGGGAGCCCTGCGCACACACACATCAAGTGGGCTTGTGCTTCCAAAGCTTAAAAACCAGGAACAGCAGGAACTGCCCCAAACACATAGCTGGGTCTTGAAAGGGACGCTTTCCTAAGGGAGCACATTCCTGGTCAACCGGAATGTCGTGGCCACCACCTGCAGAGTCAGAAGTCACAACCCACAGGAAGGAAGCAAGACACACACACACACACACACACACACACACACACACATTTTTTTCTAGTTCTAGAGCTGCAACCCTAGAAAAAAGGCAGGGAAGATGAGGGAAGGAATAACCTTCCTTGTTCCAAAAAATAGCTGAGCTCCTTTGACCCTCACAAGATCCCTCTGGGGTAAGTTCTGCTGCTATCCCCATTTTTAAATGAGGAAACTCAGGCCGTAGGTGACCTGCCTGTGGTCAGGTAACCACAAGTGGCAGCCCCAGGACTGGCAGCCTAACCACCCTCCTGTGTTGACCCTGAAACCCAAACTCTTGCCTGCCCTGGAGATCAATAAAGACCTTTGAATAATAAGTTACGGGGCTGAGGTTGTGGCTCAGTGGTAGAGCATTGCCTAGCCTGTGAGGCGTTCGATTCTCGGCACCACATATAAACAAATAAATAAGTAAGGTCCATCAATAACTAATAAAAATTAGAAATAATAATAAGTTATGAAGGTTAAGATTTTATATAAACAGGATTATAATTAACAATAACCCTGGGGTTGTTTTAATTGCCCAAAGACATGGGAAATCCTTGAAATCAGAATAATCTGTAAGGGAGACAGCCACCTGGCAGGGAAAGGTGGGTGAGGGGGTTGTCAAAGAAGAGGGACAGGGCACTGTGGAGCCATTCCAAGAGGAAGTAGGAGCCCTTCCTCATGTACCTGGAGGTGGAGGTATATATTGGGGGGTAATAACCTTTTATCAGATATATGGCCTGCAAATATCTTATCCCATTCCACAGATTACCTTTTTATCTTTTGACCCATTTTTTTTTGCAGAAACTTTAGTTTGATAAAAAAAAAAAAAAAATCTTTGTTTATTTTCGTTTTTGTTGCTTATGCTTTTGGCGTCACCTCCCCTCCAAAAAATATCAATGTCAAAACCAACAATAAGAAGCTTTTTCCAGTCATCTATTAGGAGTTTTATAGTCTTCGTCTTACACATAAGCCTTTAGCCCACCCATTTAACTTTTGCAGGTGGCTTAAGGTAAGTGTCCAAGCTCACTCCTCTGCATGGGGACAACGTGACCCCCAGACACCGTTTCCTGGGAGCACATCCTTTGCCCAGTGTGTGCTCCTGGCACCCACCATCTATGGGCGGGTTTATCTCTGGGCCCTCAATTCTGTGTTGCCTATGAGTCTGTTTTAATGCCCAGCTATACCATTCTAGTTACTGCAGCTTGATAGTAGAGTTTGAAAATAGAAAGTATGACATCCCCAGCTTTTATTCTTCCTTCTCTAAATGGTTTTAGATAATTGAGGACTTCTCAAACTTCGTATAAAAATTATAAATTCCTAATTGGGTATCTTTAATTACAACTTTTAATGGTTACAAAATTAAGTTATACAGCCGCCCATTGACCTGGATATGATTCTTACTCTATGGCATGAATGTGGTCATTCTTCAGGAAGGCCTGTCTTAAATTGCCGTGCTGGCATTTTTATAGGTAGATGCTACACCTGTAGATTGCACTTGACAGTTACAGAAGTATGTGAGAGCACACCTGGTAAAGAGCACCCCCAACAAAATACTGCTATCTGCAAATGCTCACTGTAAAAGCACAGTGGTTGGCTGTACAGACCACCATCTAGGCCAAAACACTACTGGGGGATGAAATTATAGTTTTTCTAGTCTCAATACTTCTACAAACTCTTGGGATGACTTTTTAGTCTGTTTTGGTGCCTTGGCTTGGTGCAGCAGGACCACACAGGATGTTGTCTGGTTTGTAATTGCTCGTGTTTTTCATGGTACTTAGGAGAATGCAATTAATGAACTATGGAATGCCTTTGCGGGCCTGCTGTGTCATCAGTCCATGGTCCTGGCCATCAACTCCAGGTAACGTGACACTCTCTGATTTCACTAAGTGAATATCTTTGAAATGGCATATTTTTTTAAAAAAAATAATAATTGTGAGAAATAAAAATTGACTCAAAATTCCATCATCCTGATTTAGCAACTCTTCTTTCTTACGCTCTCCCCAATCTTTCTATATCACATGGATAAGCAGATGGTCTTTCTAGTTGAGGATGGGCAGTTTTCCTTTGTTGTTACCTTGAAATATGCATGCCCATATCAAAAATATTAAAATATAAAAAAACATGGAAATAATGGCACCATTCAGTTAAATGATCTCAAACCTTAGTGTGAGTTTATGGGCTCGGTCTTTACATTATTGAGTTCATGGAGAAAGATGTTCCAATTTCTAGATAACTTAATGTAGATTATATTTATGAATAAATTGATTCCTTAGTGCTTAAGGCATCATTGCTAATAGAATATTTAAGATCCATCTATCATCTGGGTTTTACTTTCTCGTACACCCTCTCTCATCATTAAGAAAAAAAGTCCATAAAGTTAAATTACATTTGAAATCTCACCCATTTAATAGTTAGACCTTTTTCTTTTCAGCTTTGTGGATCCCGTACTGCAGTATGAAACTCAGCTGAACGTAACTGAAGCATCCTTTAGAATGCTATTAGCCCTACCAAACTTTGGAAAGTTGAGAGCACTGGGGATTGGCAATGAGGACCTCGAGGACCAGGAGGTGAGACCCTTCTTTCTTCACTTGTGTTGAGACTTTGCTCTGCACCACAGTGGAGCTGAGAATGCATCTTGGAAGGTTTCAGTCTTTGCTTGCTTCTCCCCTACTTACATATAATGGAATTCTTCAGCACTAACCTACACCCCTAAACTCCTCGTGAATTCTGTGACCCATGGGATTTAGTGGATTATATAGGGGTTATAGAAACAAATCAGTGAAGGTATTTTTGGTCAAAACTGGTTTCACAAGGGCAAGGAGTTTAATGAAAAGTATTGCCCCCCCCAAAAATAAAACAATAGAAGCAGAGAAAGATGAAAATAAGTAGAGTCCCATCGTAAGGTTAGGAACACCTGAGGTCTCTATTTTCTCAGCATTGCTACACAATGCAATTTATCTCTAAGCTAAAGAAGCCATTTGTGGCTTGGTATTGGGTGAGACTTTATCCACATAGCCACCTCACTCCTTTTTTTACCTTCAGTTTATGGGGAGAACTCAGAACACCCAGATGCTATACTGTATGTATTTGGTAAATTCTTATGTAAGACTGTTGGCTGGTTATGTGATTTTTTTTTTGTATTTCAGAGTTTATATCAAAATATTTTACACATATTTGAGGACACTCTTCTGATCTTAGTGTCTAAAGACCTCTACAAACTACAGATCCTAAGGGTAAGAGGAAATAAGCAGTTTTGTTTGTCATAAATATAAAGAGCTCACTCTAGTTCACTGACTTCTAATTTATCATATTTATATATACTTCTAGTATTTGGTGACTGGAATTTGCTTCTTGTGGAGTGAAATTACTCACAAAACAAAATCATTCCCTTTATTTGAGTTATAGAAGTGTAGAAATCAATTTGGGGAGGAGCCATCAATGGCCACCTGAGAAGGCAAGTCTTAGGTGGTGACTATGAGTGAACACAGGCTAGGATAGCAGAGACCAGTATTGGCCTCAACTGCCTCCAAGTCCACAGGACAGTGGACCACACGGTGACAGGGCTGGAAGGACATTTCACTTCCATCAGTTCTGGGGTGAGGCAACTCAACAGATCCTCTGTCCTTATGCATACCATATTCTGTGGCTTCGATATGTCCTCTAATGTCCCCCACAGTCCATCTGTCAAGATCTTAATCCCCAATGCAACAGTATTGCACGGTGATACCTTTTACGAGTTGACTAGATCGTGAGGTCTCTTCCCTCATGATTGGATGAATGTCATTATCATGGAAGAGGGTCCTCTATAAATGATGAATTTGCCCCCTCCCCTCTTCTTTCCTGGGGGCTTTCTTCCCCTTCTTCTCTGCAATGATGCAGCACAATGTCCTTCAATTGATGAGGACTTCTTGAAGATATTGATGGACTTCCAGCCTCCAGTACTGTAAAAAATAAATATCTCTATTTATTCTTTATAAATTACCCAGCCTCAGATATTCTGTTATAAAAACACTTGGACTAATAGACAAAATTAATAACAAAAAGTGAGACTGTCCCTCTAACCAATACCTAAAGACAATTTTCTCAGCATTGCTACCCAATGCAATTTATCTCTAAGCTAAAGAAGCCATTTGTGGCTTGGTATTGGGTGAGACTTTATCAACATAGCCACCTCACTCCCTTTTTTACCTTCAGTTTATGGGAAGAACTCGGGACACCCAGATACAATACTGTATATATTTGGTAAATTCTTATGTAAGATGTGAAAACTGTTCTGGAACTGGATAACGAGGCTGGAAGAGCCAGATGGTGTGAATGGAGCACTAAAGGCCATTGTGCTGAGGAGCCAGCAGAAGACAAGAGCCGTAGGGAAAGCCTAAGTCTTCTCAGGGAAAACGTAAGTGGCTGTGATCAGAATGCAGGCCATTCTCGAGAGGCCTCAGAGAGAAATGAGGCACAAGACACTGGAAACAGGAGTGAAGGTCACCCTTGCTACACAGTTGCAGAGAACTTGGAGGAACCATGTCTGCATTCTAGGACTTTTTGGAAGGCAGAACTTAATGATGAACGAGGACACCTGAGAGAAGAAATCTCTACTTAGCATAGAGCTCAAGGTGCCCCATGGCTTCTTTTGATGGCTTGCAGTAAAATGAGAAAAGGGACTTAAAAGGTGAAATTTATAATCAAGGAGATGCAGAATGAAAACATCTGGGGAACTCTTGGCCTGACCATGTAAAGAATTAAAAAAAAAAAACAAGTTTGAGAGAGAACATTAAGGGTACGTGTTGCTAAGGGACCATATGCTCAAGAGTTAAACATGCATGAAAACCAGGTTCTGGTCATCAATACAATGGGGGAGTGACCTTGAAGGCATTTCAGAGGTAAGCTAGGACCTTAAGGGCAAGGTTTCAAGAGAGGTACCCATAGAACCTCAGTATTTTCTCCTCTGTACCAGCTGGTGACTTGGCCCTGAATTTCATTCAGCACAGCACCCCTTGCCTGCTTTGGCCATGACTCAGGGAGGCTCAGGTGTGGCTCCACCCACTGCTCTGGGAGTTCCAAACCATGAGCCTTGGCAGCATGCACAGTGCTAACTCTGCAAGCACACAGAATGCATGAGCTGTGTGCCTCATGCCACCAATGCAGAAGCATGGTGGCCTCTACTTAGATTTCAAAAGATGTCACAGCCAGGCAGAGACTTGTCCCAGTAGCAGACCATTGCAGAGAGCCCCTGTGAGGGCAGAGCCTAGTATAGTTGTACAAGTAGAACCCCTATTGTCCACAGACCTCACCGCATGATTCATGTCCCAGCCAGAGAAGACTGCACTGGATGTTTTAGGTTCTTCAATTTTGCATTCCTAATATGGTGGTGTCAGGAGTCAGCTGTCTAAAAATACTGGGAATACATTGACTTACCCTACCAGAAACATCCATGAGTTGTGCAAACCAAAGTAAAGAAGACAGATTGGTATCCTTGAAGACAAGAAAGAATGTGAAGGAAAGTAAAAATGGATTGAGCTAATTTGTGCTGAATTTGAGCCAAATATTTCTGTGCATTTGAAATGTTATTCTCCTAAGTGATTATCATTCCCCTCCCCCTGCATGTCCTGCGAACTGCCCCAGGCTGCTCTCCGCTTCCTCTTATTGAGCATTTCATGTTGGGTACCGAGGATGTGAGTACATATTGTAATCCCTCAAATCATCCCATGAGGAAGCTACTATTATTTCTTCCATTTTGGAGAAAAAGAACAGAAGCAATGCTATTGGGGCGAAGCCACCACAACTTGGGAGGTTCCTTATGTCTGGGAACTCCCTGATCCTCAAAAAGAGCTGAAACCTCACTCCCAGAGAAGGCAGAGTGTGACCCCTCTGAGATTTAGAAACCCTTCTGCCTTAGGAAATGGACTTCAGAACAGTGTGCCGCTTGGCAGAGCTGAAGAGGAACAGATTGGCCAACCATTGGCAGAAGTACAGTGGCCTCCAACAGGTGGCCTAAGAAGTCTGCTAGGGCTCATTAGCATGTGCAGTCTATTCCCTTCCCAGGGGGAAATGCATCCATCCCTGCTCTTGGGATTTAGAACAAAGAGAAGGTACTAAAAGACAGATTTGTACAAAAATTAGCAACAATTTTCTAACTAAACTGCCTCCACTAATGTATTCTCTAACCAAGGATCAGAACATTTCTGGATGGTGAATTTGCAAAGGAATTGGTATCCATGAAGACAAGAAAAGATAACATTTCTGATCAGATAACATTTCAGTTCTCTTTTAAAGCCAAAGATCAGAGTCCATATTCTTTTTAAGGAATATTTGTACTTAGAATATTTGTACTTAAAAAAAAAAAGGAATATTTGTACGTAGAGCAGCTGATGACCACGTACAGACCCATGCCGAACTTTCAGGATACCTGACAGAAGGACTGCTACAGTGTTTATTAGTCACTTGTTGAATAGAATTAAATAAAATAAAAACCACATGTAGTTACCATAGTAGATGAAGTAGTACACTGGCTGTTTGTTGTCCTTTTTTTTTTTAAGATAACATAGGTCAAGCGTGGATTAATCAAAAGACCATGGGACCCCCAAACTGGTGACTAGAAGGAGGGCTCCTTAGGAAATGGAAATTCCATGGTTCTAAGATGGCTCTTGTTTTTCCAACAGGAAATGGTTTTGTGGGTGAAAGAAGAGCGTTTGTACCTGCAAGAGGAAGCACTGACGATCATCAGCAGGGTGTTATGCTTTGCATCTAAGAAAGTCCTAGGAGATGTAAGTCACACAACGAACAATGGCCTGGTTCTGAAGACTGCCTTTCCAGGGTGCTGCCTGCCATGTCTGAGGTCTTGAGGGTGCTGGGTGTCTGCTTGGTATTACTGGGTTTGCACTCTGCAGTATCTGGAAAGAAGTCAACATTCTGCATGGCTTTAAGTCATGGGAGCAGAATTTCTCAAAAACTGGTGAAGAAGCATTATTAGAGAAACAGCATGAGCATGTTGGTAGTACCAGGTTTTGCTGACTCTGGATTCTCCTCTATGGACCATAATGAATATTATTTTCCACCCTTATCTTCCTCTTTATGTTCTCCTTTTATTTTCCGAAAATATTTGTGAATCATTGTCTATTTTAAATTTATACAAGCAATTATTGGAGCATAAGTCTTCCTTTCCTTTCCTCTCCACCCACATTCCCAGCCTGTTGGTGTGACATGTGTCCACCCAAACCGCTTTCTTTGTCTACATCCTTGTGTGCACGCATGCACGCATGGATGCCCTCCTGCTTCTTTAAAGAAGTTACATCAAGTGCTGCAACTTGCTTTCTTCACTGGACAACATGCCCTGCTCATATTTTCATATTAATATATGTAGCGTAATTTCATTCTTTCAAACATAGTCTGTGCATTCTTGAATATTACAATCCACTGAACTACTTTTCCATTGATGAGTCCAATGATGTTTTTCAACTTCAAACAGTAAAAATTGGTTATGTTCATGCAAATCTGTATGTACTTAGTTCAGCTTAGGGAGGCAATAGCTAGATAGACGTTGGGGAGGTCAGAGTTTAGGAACGCACCACTGTCCTCCAATCTGTGTTCCTGTGACTATAAGAATGCCCATCTCCCACACCTTCATAAATGCCAGGGTCTTCTAGACTTACATAATCATTTATTCTCAGAAAGGGCCTCATCTGAACATATTGCTACCACTACTTTCTTTAATCAACAGGATCTATCTTACTTTCTTTAATCAACAGGATCTATCTATCTATCTATCTATCTATCTATCTATCTTTCTATCTTATATGCCTATATTCAAATGTATAAAGTTATTATTTATTTTTGGAAAGTCTGGTTTACAAAGCTCTTCTTTTGGTTTTAACATAAGATTTACTTATCCATTATCAACAATAGCCAAGATGTAGAATCGACCTAATGCCCACTAATAAAAGAATGGATAAAGGCCACAAGGGTATGTGGGCACCACCCACCCACCTACCCATCCCCCAAGTACTCTTAGTCATAATAAAGAAGAAAATTCCATCATTGCAAAAAATACAACTGACCCCAGAGGATACTACATGGCATGAACTTGGCTAGGCACAGCATAGACAGACAATCCCTGCCTGCTGTCCTCACACACACACCCTGAGGGAGTCAAACTCATCACACAGAGTGGAACAGTGGTCACCAGGAGCTGGAGGCGGTGGGGGTGGAGGAATGCAAGACGTGCTCATTAGAGGGTCTGAAGCTTCAGTTAGACGGATGAATAAATTTTGGAGCGCTAATAATGTATAGCACGTTAACTATGGTTAATCATAATGCACTTTGTACTTGAAAATTGCAAAAAAAAATAGATCTTAAAATGTTCTCACCATAAAAAAAAGTGATATGTGAAAAGATGGATTACATTGGTTAGCTTGATTTAATCATTTAACAGTGTGTGCATATATCAAAATGTCACATTGGACAAAAATAATGTAATAACGTTTCTCTCTTGTGGATACTGTATATTCAGTCTGTTTCCCAACTCATGCTGCAGGGATTTTAAAATATACTCTACTAACAGTTTTTCTGATGACTTGAATCATTTCAAGAGTAGTTACGTGTAAAGAGAGTTGGAAATAAACATTTGGGATGCTCCTCATGTCCATTTTCTCGTACTTGTATAAACCCCAGACATATCAAAACAAAAATATCTAGACCAGCCTTTAAAACAGCTGAATTGTTACGACTTTGTTTAAAGCCAGCTGGGAGCGTGATGGAATTTACTTATACAGGGGAGCACAGTCCACAGTGTTTTCATCGTGCTGATCCCCTATTTCAGCACCCAAAGAGAGATTCAGTGGCTTGTCTAATCCTGATTCTCTGATTTGGGAAGGCAGCCCTGCCCCCCAACACCCTCACTTCTAAAATGGCCTGCGGTTCTTTACAAATATCTAGAAGGCTCAGCATGGAAAATCTTGCAAGTGGGATTAAGTACCACTCACATCTGTTCTCTGCACAGCTCCTGGGACAATATGCACTTAGCAAGTATTTGATGCCAACTATGTGAAGAGGGCTATTTGCATGCCTCTCTCTGCATTTGGATGCCTGCATCCTAGCATGGGCTTAGGCAGCAGGTGGGGCTTTGTAACAAGGGCTTAGCACCCCTCCCTCTTGTCTTTCCATTGCTAGTTGGGTTCATTGCCCCTGAGCCCAGACCTCTCTCCATCCACAAGAAATCAAATGTGTAAATTCAGGTGTGTAGCAGAAGACTCTCATGCATTATTTGAGGATTTCTTGCTTTAACAGGTTTCTATGAAAGACCAGGTGGGATTATCCGCCACTCTGCTCTGCAGTGTTCACCAAGTGCCACCAGGTGGAAGTACATCAGCACATTTTTGAGAACATTGAAACAGCTAGACTCAGCCAGCTCACCACAGTCATGGAAGCATAAACTTCATTAAGGAAGCTTTCTTATTAAAGTAATGTCTTCTGAAAATAATTAATTCTGGGGCTTGGATCGTGGTTCAGAGGTACAGTGCTTGCTTAGCATGGGTGAGGCCCTGGGTTCGATCCTCAGTACCACATAAATATAAAATAAATAACAATAAAGGTATTGTGTCCACCTACAACTAAAAAAATTTTTTTAAATAAAATAACAAAATAATTAATTCAGTGAGATTATTGGACGAGGGGATTATAGGACAAAACAATCTCAAAAATATCGTAAATGATTTAAAGCTGAGCTTCCACGGGCCTGACCTCTGTATCACTATGTCTGACATAAAACAGGCAATTAATTTTTTTGTTCTGCTCTAATTAAATAGCTACCTATTTTGTCCTCTCGTGCTATCCATACAATGGAAAAAAAAACATTTTCTTCATAAATCATCCTGCCTAGGTCCTGCTCAGCCTCAGAGGCTCCTGTCCTAGCAAAGACTTCCGATTATCATTGTATTTTGTCAGAAATATGTTATTAAAGTGATAATTCCCCTCACATAACCCATGTGCCCATCAGGGTAGAGAAACTCCTACACTCAAAGGTTATTCATCCCTTTAATTGAAGTATCAGCTTTCAACAGGAAGAGAAGTGTGAGCTAAGCACATCATCTTGTTGCATTCACAGAGAATGCTTCTGCCTGTGCTCCTTTGGCACATTAGCATTTAGAAATGGATGGAAGAGTCCCAATTATTTAATTTAATTATTTAACAGGTGGTCCCTGTGTATTCATCTCCTCTCCCTCCAGAGTCCTCCCGAAGTGATAGTAACAGAAAGTTTTAAAGTCTAAAGTCGCATCCACAAAGAGGCTTGGTGAAGGCTTTTCAGTGGGCCAGCAATGCCAGCAAACTTCTGGAAGACAGAGGAGAGAAAGATGGGAATAGAAAAGTCTGTCCACGGAACCAAAGCAGGAAGCCAGGACCACTAGGGTGGGGTCTGGAGCTGCAAAATCCCAAGCAATGAAGAAGGGAGGGTGTGAAGCGAGGGGTCAAGGGAGGGCTGAGTGCAGGCACATCAACAGAGCAGTCATTGAAAGCTCAACTAGCACAGTAAGAAGGCTCAGTGTCCCCTTCCCCTTGATGCACAAGGAGTTCATCAGCAGACGGAATTTGAGAACTGCCTTCTTCTTTCTTTCTTTCTTTTTTTCCCCCAAATCTTCTGCGGTTTGGCTGTGGAGCGCTCGCAGGTTGATAGTGTGACCCCAGGGCAGCGAGGTTCAGAGGTGGGTCAAGACTCTCATCAGGGCTCTGACCTCAGCAGTGGGCTAATCCCTTTGCTGGATTCACCTGTGGGTAGCTGAATGCAGTGGTAACTGCAGGCAGGGGAGGACCCTGGGGGCAAGGCCCGGGGACTGTGTCTGTCCCTGCCCCTGTCCCCAACTCTCCTTTTCAGCAGAGAAGCTTGCCTCTGCCCCACCATACCAACATCGCCTCTGGCCCAGAGAAATGGAGTCGACTGACCCTGGATGGAAACCTCTGAAACTGTGAATCCCATAATTTTTTTCTCCTCTAAGTTGTTCTCATCAGGTATCTTAGTCACAGTGATGAAGAACTGACTAACACAAAAACCATTGTTAAGTTCTCTGATAAAAGAATCATGCATTTTGTTTAAACACTGAAGGAGGACCCCAGCCTCCACTCCCAGCCATGGTGAAGCAAGGTACACCACTGGCAAGCCTTGCTACAGACAAAGCCCCACCAAGAGGCACTTTGTCCTCAAATATGAAGAGACATCAAAATTTGCCAGACATTTGAGAAAACCCTTCAATTAAAAGACCTGCAAAGGCAAATAAAGAGGGGGAAAAATGACTATCAAAAGCATATAATTCAAGACACAGATGAGAATTTATTTTCAAAAAGAGTGGAGAAGGCACATGTATATGCCAAAAGGAAATATAACTAACCCGAGCGTGAACTATGCGTTGAACAACATTACTTAGTCACAAGACCATATTATTGATTTTCAATTTTTAAGATCACTCGAAGACCAAGCACTAAAATCCTTAAAGGAATTACTGATCACAATACGAATGAAAGTGCAGAGAACAGGAAAAGGGTTCTTCAACAAGTTCAACACCAAATTACCACGTGGCCAAGCAGTCCTGCTAGGCACAACCCCCACCCCCCAAAAAAATGTAAAACAGATGTTCAAACAAAAACTTGTCCATAAGTGTTTACTGCAGCAAAATTCAAATTGCCAAGAACGGAAACAACCCAAATGCCCATCGATAGACAGATGGACCAACAAACCTGACGTCCTCATACAAAGGCACGTTACCCTGTCAAGTGGGGGTGTGATACACTTCCCCATGGCCAAAGCGTGAACACCTCATACTAAGTAAAAGAAGCCGACCCAAGAGAAGGCTGTGTGTTATACGATCCCCTGTGTGTGTACTAGGCAACAAGCGAACCCTGAGAGACACCGGCTGTCGGGCCAGGAGGAGGGACCATCAGTCACTGCTTCATGGCAGAGGGCTTCTATCTGAGGCGATGGAAAGTTCTGGAATGAGGTAATGGCAAGGGTTGCACAGCATTAGCAGGGTACTTACTGCCAACTAAATTATTCACTTTAAAATGGCCAAAATGGCAAATTTCATATCATGTATAAATTTGCCATAATAAAAAATGCAAAAAAATAATTTTAAAAAATCACAGGTTTCAAGAGTCGGACGAGCCTGTGTGTCAAAGAGCTTGTCGGGGCAAGGCATGAACTAACGTTCATGGCAACAGCTTTGAAGAAAGTTTGAGTTTTTAAAACATGACTTTCTCTGGGAAGAATCCGAGCAATTCCAGGAGGAATAACATCACATTTCCCCAGTGACTCTGAGTCATCTAAAGCATTTCACACCGGAAAAGGGAGCTTCCAAGAGTTTGGATGACCACATCCTCCTGCTCCCGACTGTCCCGGGGATCTGCTCCCTGCCAGCTGCTCCCTAGTCATGGAGTAGAAGCTAACCTCAGTTGAGCACTCTTGTCCAGCACTTTCCCGGGCTCTTTCGGTCATGAACATCCCCCTCTGTGCTCATGTAACTAACACAGATGGCATTTTCTTGTCTTCCTTTCACAGCAACAGAGGATTTGAGGACAGATTTTTAAAATTCTGAGGCTTATCCTTGAAACCCGTTCCGTAAATGAGAGTCTCGGATGCAGACATTCAGTGTTGACTCGGCATAACCAACGATTTTCTCCCTCCCTTCTCCATTAGACAAGCGTGGACGCCCCGTGTCTGGGTGTCCTGGCCGCAGAGCTGTCTCTCCTGTGTTGTCATGCTGACAGTGACATCATGAACCAGGCCTCCATGGGACTGCACCACCTGCTCTGCATTGCCAAGTGGCAGAACGGTAAGAAGGGCTCATCCCACCTGCTGAAGTTATTAAGAATCGGCCCCTAATAATTCTCCTGGGGAGTCCCAGGAAGACGGAATGTCTGGGAATTTCTACATCCCATCTCTAGATCTATAGCTTCACTTTCTAAAATGTGATTTTAAAAAATCTTCCTGGCATTGTCAAGAAATTCTGGTGTGGTGTAGTTGGTTCTTCAACATCTGTAAAGCACTGTAATTAGGGAAAAGTGTTGGGTGTTGATGTGGGATAGGAAGGCCAGATGGAGGCAGGGCTGGGTGGGAAGGAGAGAGTGGACTTGAAAAATAAAGGCTATTTTCTTTCCCTCTAGTGGGTCATCAGCTAGAATTCCTAGAAGACTCTTCCTTCGTTGGTGGGGAAAACTCAGCCCAAAATTAAAATAAATGCTGTAATGATTGGCCTAACACAGTGTAAATGCCAGACTGGAAAATACCAAACTATTTCCAAGCAAACTAACTATAGCTCAGAACAAAGCGTTAAAATATTTTTAGAATCCTCTGTCTCTCTATCAGGGATGTAATGTCAGAGGATAAATTTACCCTCAGATAAGAAGCAACATATATATGACATGACAATTAAATATATACATACCCACATATGTATATACATGTATGTATATATATGTTGTTTCTATAAATATAAGCATATGTTATTATATATTAACACTGCAAAAAGATTAGTGAGTTTATTAACATAGTAATTAGCAAAAATGAAACAGAAATAAAAAGAATGAAAAAAATGAACAGAGGTTCAGTGAGGTGTGAGACGATTATAGTCAGCCTAACACATGTCTAATCTGAGTCCCTAAATATGAAAAAGTGAGACAGAAAAATAACTAAAGAGTAATAGAAATTTTCCAAATTTGGTAAAAGCTACATACTCATAGATCCAAATAGCTCAATATAGCTTGAGAAAGGTGAAGAAGACAGCATCAAGGTACATGATAATTAAATTGCTTACAACAAATGATAAACAGGAAATCTGAGAAGAAACCAGAGAAAAAAGACACATCACATGCCACAGATTTCTCACTAGAAACAATGTAAGCCAAAGGCAATGAAGCAACATCATAAAGAACAGAAAAACAAAAGCTGTCAGAATCCCATAGGCAGCAAAAATATTGTCCAAAATTCAATTAGATATGCATTTTAGAATGCATTGTGATAGAATTCAGTTCTGCACCTCAAGAAATGTTAAAGGAATACTTCAAGGAAAAAAAAATGATACCAGATAAAATTTTAAATCTAACTGAAGGAAAAAAAATGAATGGGAAATTGTAGCTATGTAAATAAATATTTAAAATATCTTTGTTATTTAAGTTTCTTTGATAATCAAGTGTTGAATACAAAAATCAACTGTTGAACACACAAAAAATAAAAATGTATGACAACATTAGCACAAAGACTTGAAAGGGAAAAACTTTTGAATACAGTTTTAAGTTTCCTGTATGCACAAAGTCATGAAATATCACACAAGTAAACTGTGATATGGTGAAAATGTATTGTATAAACTCTAAAGCAACTTCTAACATAACAAAGACTTATATAATGAACCAAAAATGGAAATAAAATGAGATTATAAGAAATACTTAATCCAAAAGAAGGCAAAGGGGGATGTAGAAAAAGAACAGATGAGAAAAATAAATAGTTAAGGGAACAATTTAACCACATTAAAATAAATGTAAATGTTCTAAATATCCCAAATGAAAAGACAGAGATTGTCAGATTGGATAAAAAGCAAGACTCAAATAACTGCTGCCTACAAGAAACCCACTTTAAACATTAAGGCACAAGGGTAATTACGTAGACATAATAATCCAAAACACTTACATACCTAAAAGCAAAAATACATTATTCTAAGAAATCAAAATGTAAACAAAAGAATTGTAAAGAAATATTCAATTGCAGTTAGATAATTCAATACCGAACTCTCAACAATTCATAATCACACAAAAAAATCAATAAGGATCAACATTTATAGAACACTCCATCAATCATAAAAATAAGAACATTTTTAGTGCTTTTGTTAAACAGAACATTTTCCAAAATAAATGATATTTAGATGATAAACATCAAGAAGTTAATTATTATAATTAAATGGAGTTAAATTTTAAATAAAAAACAAAAAGATATTCTGGAAAACCCAAAATGTTTAAAAATTGGATAACATACTTCTAAATAACCCACAGGATGGAGAAAGGAAAATGAAAAGTATTTTCAACTAAATTAAGTTCAAATTTTCAAAATTTCAAAATCTGTGGGATGCAGGTGAGGAGTATAAAGAGAGAAATTCACAAGATGACTTGCCTGAGAAAGGAGGAGCATCTTCACATCAATGATCTCAGATTCTACTTCATAAAACTGGAGAAAGAGGAGCAAACACAACCACAGGAAGCAGCAGACAGGAAAGAATGAAGATGAGATTAAAATTCACATAATGAAAAGCAGAAATTGACCAAGAAAGATCATCAAACAATGAAACCAGCAGCAGATTCTTTGAGAAGACCATGGGGACCAAAAGGGAGAAGACACAAGTGAACAATGTTAGGGATAACAGAAATGACATTGCTGGAGAGTCTCTGGATATTAGAAGAATCTCAGGGGACATTATAAACAACTTCATGCCAATACATTTGACAACTTAGGGAAAACAGAAAAATCAACTAAAAGATACAAACCACGAAAGCTACTTGTGGGGATCACTGAATGCCCCTGTGTCTATCAACAAAACCCAATTCGTAGTTACAGCCTTTTTGCAAAGAAAACGTCAGCTCCACAAAGAAAACTCCAGACAGAAATTATCTTGTAAAAGTTTAAGAAAGAAATCATGCCATTTCTATACCCATTCTATACAAATTCTTCCTGAAATGTGAAAATAAGAGAATACTTCCAGCTCTTTCTCTGATGCCAGCATAATTCTGATAACAAAACCAAAGATAGTCAGGAGAAAAAACAACTAACAAATGCCCCTCATGTACATAGATGCAAAAAATTCCCAAGTTTAGCAAATGAAATACAATAATACATAAAAGAAAACCATCATGACTATGTGGAATTTATCCCAGGAGTGCACTCAGCTTCTCATTTGAAATCAATCAATGCAATATTCCACATAAACAAAGGAAAAATAAAACCATGTCGTCATTTTAGTAGACAAAGAGCATTTGATGAAATCTATCAACCATTCCTTATTTTTTTTTAAAAAAAGTGATTAAGAATAAAGTAGAACTCTCTTCACCTAATACAGCGTGTCTGTGAAAATCCTAAAACTACATCATACCCAGGAGGGCAACCCTGAAGGAACTCCATGAAAGCTTTGGGACAAGACGGGGATGTGCACTGTGGCAACTTGTATTCACCATGGTGCTGTGAGTGGCCCGCGCACCCTGATCTGATCACTACACACCTCTCCAGAGGTGTTAGAGTGCACCCCAGAAATGTGTGGGGTTACTATGTGTCAATTAAAATATGTTAATCCATGAAAAATGACAATTTTAAAATGTAATTTATAATGTGTGATTGAGCCAGATGTAAAAACTGTAAGAAATCTTTGGTTTTGGGGTTAGGTCAAGACTTTTTATATACAATACAAAAAAATGATGAATCAATGAAAAAAATGACAAATTAAGCATCTCTGCTCTTTAACAGGCGCTCTTAGTCACTAAGCCGCAGACAGGGAGAAGATCCTTGAAAATTACATATCAGATACAAGAGTCATATCCAGAATTCACAAAGAACCCTCAAAACTCAGTGAGAAAAAAAGACAAACAATCTGAAAACATATAATAGATTTGAATGGTCATTTTGGCAAAGAAGCACATCAAATGATGTTCAATATAGAGTCGTTAAAGAAACAAAACTCAAAACCATTACTACACACCCAATGGGATGTCTAAAGCTGAAATGGCAGGAGGGAGCTGTGGGTTCATGCAACAACATGGGTGAATTTCAATCAGTTTGCCGAGTAAAAGGAATCCATCAAAAAGGGTAGACTCCCATCATTACGTACAACTATAATGCACTAATAAAAATGTGGAAAAAAGGGTAGGGACTATATGACTTCACTTATAAAAAATTAGGAAATGCGAACTTAACTGAAGGCACATGGCAGAAGGCAGATGAGCGGTTGCTTTGGAATCTGGAGAAAGGTAGGGAAGCAGGTGTGAGATGATGGGAAATACATGCAGAAACCTGGAGGCAACAGATATGCTCATTTCTCGACTGTGGAAATGGGTTTGTGGGGGTACGCATGTGCAAAAACTTACAAAGTTGTGCACTTTAAATAGTATATGTCAATTATAGCTCCATAAAGCTATTTATGGAGTGAAATCCTTAAAAACACATCTTCCTGGAAGTAAGGACATCTGTACCTGAACCTCCCCTTGAGAGCCTGGCTTTCCGGGGCACCACTCCTCAGACCTTTTCAAAGTACCTCCAAGTTAGTTAACTCTCTGATCAGCAAACCCTGCAACTTAGAAATAGCTTCTTCCAGTCACTGAACATCACATTTGATGGCCTAAATGCATCTGATATCTGGTCAATCTCTAAAAATTATTTATATCCTTCATTTTTTCACATAGCTTATTTTAAATACTTTCTACATTCTGGGTCAGTGCCATTATAATATTTTATGTGCCATAGCTATGGGCATAGAGTTACATATTCAGAAGACTAGCTCTATAGAACTGGGGAGGAAAAGAAAATTGGAAAGAACAATATCATCAAAGTTGTGACCTTTAAATAGCATATGTCAATATATGATCAATATATCATAGTTTACGATCAAGTAGAAACTTTAAACTCTTTTCCTTAATACAACAGACCTTGAAAAAAATTCACCTATAAATTATAACGCACTTGGAAGTTATTGCCACCTGACTACTGTTCCTCAAGTGGAAATCCAACCCAAGACCTTACAACGAGACAAACTTAAGATTGCTCAGGTATCATCACCCCACTTAGGTAAATGATATACAGAGCACTTGGTTTCCTGACTTTTATTCCTATCAATAAGAATTAAGTCTATTATTCTCAAGTATAGCACTTTGTAGCATTTTCTAATAACAAGTATTTATTTGATAAATATTTTAATGGTTATAAATGCAAATAAGATGAATGTTTCCTAGTTATACTGTTTTTTATTTGGCTAAAACATAGCTGGGTACAGACTGGGCTATCAAATGGACAGACATTTGGAGCCAGTCACTCAGAAAAACTCCAGGGGTGGCCCTTCAGGCTAGCTGATCTTCTGGGGAAGAAGGGCCTAGAGTTCCTAAAACTAGAGACATAAGCAGTTCCTCCTCCCCTGGTTGGAATTGTGGGAGGCTGAAGATATGCTGAAGCAATGCATCTAACATGACATAGTAAATACATTACAAAGACAGCTTAAATATGCATATACAGGATGGCACATCTTTTCAAAATCAAGGGGTTTTCCTACTCACCACCCCACAACTATTGCAAGCCTGGTTGACCATGAAGTTGGTCACTTTCATGAAGAAACAAGGCATCTGTGTAGGTTTGTCACCAAACCATTCTCATCCACCCTGCCATCCCCCTGGTACCCTAGAGTTAAAACCCTAACTCCATGATTGGGCTAGTGAGGCTGGGACTGGGAGCTTCCTCGGGGCCTCTTGCAAGTGGCTTATGAGAGTTGCTATCACAACGTCTGCCCTGGAGTCCTCTCTTTTCTGTATTTAATGTCTACCAGGTTTGGAATTCCTTGGTTGGGGTACCCTGGGTCCTTGTGTGTGTGACCTATTTTTCAGTTCCCAGTTGAGACCAAAGCAAGTTCGATGCTGGCCATGAGTGCAGGAACAGTAGGTAGGGACTTTCCAAAGAAGGTGGAATAGGTGAGTTTGGAGCATTCAAGGTTGGAACAAGAAGACCAGTAGGTGGGTCCATAGAATCCAAAGTTGTAGCAAGGAGACTAAGAGGACCACAGTCAAAGTCCAAAGATGGCAAATAGGAGCATCACAGCCAGGTGTGAGCTCAAGGCACTGAAGCAAAACACCATTAAAATGGGAGGATTGCATTGAAAACATAAAGGCTGTTCACAGACGAAGGCTCCCTCCTTTTATATAGTAACAGTTTGTAAAAGAGGACACTGTCTTATAAAGAAAAAAAAACTCATGGAATTTGTGGAAAGGAAATAATTCAAAACAGTTCATCTGTTTACAAGAAGAGGTTCTTGGCAAAAGCCTGTGCTCTGAAGTGTATGTCCAGCATGGATAAATAAATGACAAGTGGCGGGATGTCAAGTCCCCAGCATATCATGCAACTGTTACAACAGGTAGTGAAAGAACGAACAAGGCTTGTCGTTGGAGCAAATGCCCGTTTATTGAGGAACAGCTCTGCATATTTATAGAGCCAGGGGTGGTTTGACAGTTGGCATGGGGTGCTTTTTGATTGCAGGGTAAGGATCAGGTGAACCAGCAGGGCTCCCCATTGGACGGCAGGATCATGTGAGCCTAGCAGGGCTCACCATTGGATGGCTCTTTTGGGGGGATGGGGAAGTTAGTCTTTGGAGCCGGGGTGACTCCCAACATTCCTCCCTCTTTGTTATTAAATGAGAGTGGGCGTCAACTCATTCTGGCTGCTTCCTGCTGAAATGGGAGAAAGAAGGAGGGAAGTAAGGAGCCCCCATAGCAGGGCAGAGAAGACCAGTATAACTTCAGGAACCAGATCAACAAAGATTCCTTGCCACCACAGATCCATGATGATGTTAGTCCATTCGGCATAGGTCTCGACTGGAGGTATCATCAGTAGCCAGGAGTTGGTAATTCCTGAGGAGAGGCTGGTAAAAGCTTGATTAGAAATTTTTTACCCACCTGAGTCTGAATGAACTTTATGATAAAGGGAAGGAACAGGCACAGGGAGTTTTTATAGCCCAAATCTAATGAGGTCTCTGAGTCTGCAAGCTGCCTTGTTGGCACAAGGGGGGTTAAGTGTTCAGCCTTGAGCAGGGGCTTGGGCATTTGGGCTTGAAGCAAACAGGTGATAAAAAGAACCAGACAGAGGGTTTGAGAAGCCAGGTCATTCTGCAGCTAACTTTGTTTGGCATGACCTGCAGACCAGCCTGACCTGCACCTAACACCCTCAATTCCACTCTTCATTCCTAGTCCAATCTAGCTCTCTCCCCTCTCTATTAAGGCTGCTCTTCAAACTTTCTCCTAACTGGGTGTACCAGCTTGCTTCTCTCTTTGCCTTTCTCGAAGGCGGCCAAGGGAGGACAGTGGCTCATTGTTACCATATTTCCCTTTGAGAGCAGTCAGCTCTCTCCAGGTTTTATGTAAAACACCTCAACTTTAAATACTGATACTTGAAATTTTTACGAAACTGGGAGGGTAAATAAAATACACATGTTCCTCCTTAGGCCCAGAAGGCAACTGGTAAAGTGCTCTCTTATGATCACACTTATTCAGGGGTCACCATGCTCTGGACACCTAAGTGCTTTGTCAGAAGGACAACACACAACGGTCCCACTACCGTCCAGATCCAAGCAAGTAAGGGGGGGATCTGAAAGGAAGAAAAGGGGGTCTGGCTGGAGGGGCCCCTTAGGGTCACTTGCCTTGAATCTCCAGACATAGGGTGAAGAGAGGACCCAAGAGAGGCCAGAAATGAGGGGGAGCATTGACAAGAGTACTTAATGACAGGTGACGATCGTTGGCTCTTCTGATGAAGGTGTAGGAGTGCCGGGCTTAAGCCTGGAAATATGAATCCACGGGGTAAGTTGGTTATTAGGTAGTTTGAGTTTGGCTGCCAAGGGAGTGCACATAATCACCTGAGCAGGACCCTCCCATTTGGTTTTAGAGGGGGCTTTTCCCCCGGTGGGCAATAGTAAACAAGTTGACAAGGTGTTAAGGAGGTAGGGTTTTGAGAGAGACTGGGGTCAGGAAGGAGCCAGGCTTGATAGCACCAGAGTTCAGAGCATAGATGGAAGAGGAGGGGCAGGGCATAGGTATCGGAGATGGGTAGGGGTTCTGTAGGCAGTCCAGGAGGAACGAGGGGATGGCCATACATGACTTCGAAAGGTGAGAGATTAGAAGGCTTTTTTTGGCAGGGCCCTAATGCACAATAAAGCCAAGGGGAGCACCTTTACCCAGTCCAGGCTTAATTCCATGGTGAGCTTGGTGAGGGTCTGTTTAAGGGACCGATTGGTCCTTTCAACCTTTCTGGAAGCCTGGGCAATGGAAATGCCAAGGGAGTGATGGCGCGTGAGCCAGTCACTGAGTTATCTGCGAGGTGAATTCTGGGCCATCATCTGATTGGATAGAAGTGGGCATCCCAAAATGGGGGATTATGTGAGTAAGCAATAGATCAATTACTGTAGAGGCCCGTTTATTGGAAGTGGGAAAGGCTTCAACCCATCCCGAAAAAGTATCTACCAATACAAGAAGATATTTTATGTTTTTTACTCGGGGCATGTTGGTGAAATCAATCTGCCAGTCTGCAGCTGGGGTATGACTGTGGGCCTGATGAGAAGGGAAAGGTTTAATGGAGTATTGGTATTGGTTTTCTGGCAGATCTGACAAGCGGAAGTGATCTGTTGTAGGAGGGTCTTATCACGTGGGGAAAGCGTGAAAAAGGAGTGAAGGAAAGTAGTGAGACTCTGTGGACTGGAATAGAGATGGGCCTTGGAATTTCCCACAGTAGTAAGGGAGGAGTCAGTTTGGGGCCTTGCAATGGATTATTCCCAGTTGGGAAGGCAGCCTGGAGGCTCATAGTAGGCCAGAAATAAGTATGGAATTAATGACTGCCGTCCCTCTAGTGGTCAATATCCCCTTTCTTTCCAAATGGCTGCGTGGGAGATCAGGATATGGAAGACGTATTATGTAGGGAGAGGGTTTTTCCCTCCGCTAGCTCGCATGCCCTTGTGGCAGCTATGAGTTCAGCTTGTTGGTTGGTGGTATTGGGTGGGAGAGGTTTTGCCTCTATGATGGATGAGAGGGAAACGACAGCATACCCCGCCACTTTAACCCCTTCGTGTATAAAGGAGCTACCATCTGAGAACCAGACGAGGTAGGGCAGGGGTCCCCAGAAATGGTGGCAGGGCAGGGTAAAATCCTCTCTAATACCTCCAGGCATTTGTGGACGGGATCTTGTGAGGGAGAAGATGGGAGGAGGGAGGCAGGGTTTAATGGAGAGCAGGGCTGAAAAGACATGGAGGGATTTTCAAGGAGAGACAAGGAGGGCTAGGACCCTGGAAGGAGGAAGTGACTGTAGCCCCTTTTAAGTGAGAAAATCCTTTAATGGTGAGGAGATGAGATGGTTAGCAGGGAGCCAAAGGTAAGCTTGTGAGCTTCTTTCTGGAGGTCATGGGCCACTGCTAGAGCTCTGAGGCATGGGGGCCAGCCCTGACGGTGGGGTCGAGCTGTTTGGATAGGTAGGCCACTGGTGCAAATGTGGGGCCATATTCCTGACCTTGAATGCCAGACTTTGTCCCTGTTTTTATATAGAGGGTGAAGGGTCAGGAGAGGTTGGAGAGATGCAGGGTGGGTGCCCAGAGGAAGGCCATTTTAAAGGGCTTCCCTACTGCTGAGAATAGGGGTTCATCTTGGGGGCCCTTGGCCAGATTATATAGGAATTCAGGCCCTGAAGTACCCAGCCAAACCCAAGAAGGAGAGTCATCTTTGGTCTTTGGTGCAGGTATAGACATAATAAGCTGTTTTCTATCTACTGTAATGGCCTTTTTCCCTTGAGAGATAGAGAACCCTAGATACATGCTATTTGGGCCTTTTGTGGAGAGGCCCGATTTCCCTTTAAGGCCAAGAAATTAAGTAGGAGAACTCTGTCATCTGTTGAGCGCCCTTTGGACGGGCTAGAAGAATTTGTTTGCAAGAGGTGCAGAGGGCAGGATTGGATTGGAGCAAGAAGAAAGCCTGGAAGAGATCCCTTAGAATGGAGGGATCCAAGGACCCAAAAAGGGGCCATCTGCTTTGGTTGTCTAAGGGATAAGTGGGCCAGGCCTGGGTGCTATATTTGATCCAAGAGGCATTGTAGGGGAAAGTCGACTGGCAGAGAGGACACATTACCCATGTAAGGAGGAGGGAAGAGGACGCAGAGAAGGAGGAAACTGATTTATTGTCAAAAGGGGCGTCCCCACTAGAGCCAAAAAATCAAGAGTGCCTAAGTGGCAGGTTCGAGCTGCAGAGATTGGTCGTCACCGAATCCTGACAGTCGAAGCTCTCGTCCTGGACGGAGACAGAGCAGTGGGAGACCTTGGCCAAGGCTTTTCGGGACCCCTCCTGGAGAGGCCGGATACTCCCAGGGCCAGAAAGAAGGGAGAGGAAGGGGAGGGTAAGCGTCTCTCTACTGGCCGAGTCTTAAGGTGAGAGGACTAGGACTTTCGAATCTGCCCAAGGAAGGAGTCCCTGAGGGCCACCATAGCCTAAAGGCTGTGGTGGGGTGCTTTCCTCCCCACAGGTGGGCAAAGAGATTTGCCAGACAATAATCAATAAATTGTAAGAGGGTGTATTCGGGGCACTGGGGGTGAAAAGATTGAAGGTCGGAGGCCAAGGTTTGTCCAAAGAGGTGTGGACGATCTCGAAATCCCTGAGGAAGGACAGTCCAGGTTAAAGGCAAAATGATATCCTTTAAATCTATGACCGAGAAGAGGGTGACAGTGTGGAGGATCTGAGACAGCAGGATGTATGGTTTGGGAACCAAAGGATGTATGTTGTAGGCCCAGAAGAACTTTATGGGCCTAACGGAAGTGTTGATGAGTCGTAGGTAGGACCCATTGGGCTCTTTTACCGCTAGTATGGGAGTAAAGGGAATGAGCAGGATGGAGGTACCCCTTGCTAAGAAGGTCCTGAATATTCAGGAAATGGTGGAGGGGCTGTGGGTATCCCATATAATTGGGTCAACTAGGTTAGTATGGTATTTCATGTCAGCCTCACAAGTGGAGCAGAATGGCCAGTTTTCTTCCAAAAGGGCCAGAAAAGATGAACAGGCCGATTCTGGGGCCTGCCTGATGCCAGGAGCCTGTATGTTGATTGTTGTATTGAATTTAGAGAGAATATCTCAGCTGAGCAAAGGAACTTGACATTGGGGCATAACTAGGAACGTCTGAGAGGATGGGAAGTTGTCTATGGAACAGAGTAATAGGGGAGTCTTTCTTGGATAGATGGTCTTTCCTCCTACCCCGACAATAGGAGAGGTGGACGGCACTCCTTGCTAAGAAGTGCAACTCTTTGCCCCCAGAATTCTGTCAGGACTGAGAAGGTAGCTCTGGTGTCAAGGAGAAAGTCAACCTTGCACCTATCCACCTGAATCTGCACCCTGGGTTTCTGTCTATTGATCATTACGGCCAGGGACAAGGACCCAAGGCGCCGTCAATTGATTGCCATGCCCAGAAGTTCGGAGGGTTCCCTCCTATGGGATCTAGGACAGTCAGAGCCCCAATGACCTTGTTGTTGACATTTAGGGCATGGGGTATGCGGAGTGCTTGGTGCGGGGCATGCCCTGGCCCAATGTCCCTCCTTACCACACTTGAAGCAGACACCCAGGGGAGTTTTCGGTGATGGGTGGCGACCCAAGGAAGCATCCTGCAGGAGCTGGGTGAGCATCTGAAATTTCTCAGTCGGGGGGGGTGGGTGGCAGGGCCTTGTTTGAGCTTTTTCAGTTTGGCTCAGATGTCGGGGTAACTCTGTGAGAGGAAATATGTCATAAGGACATGACGGCCATCTGGGGTTTTGGGAGTTTGATCTAGGGCAGCAAGTGGCGCCGGAGGGTGACTGGGATTAACTCAGTGAGTTTCATCCGCATGGGCTCTGGCAAGTTCCCAGACTCTGGTACGTTCCTCAGGAAGAAGAGTATTAGCCAATAACATATAAGTGATGCTCTAAGCCTGGAGGACCCACTGAAACTCTCTTTCGTGGTGAATGAGCCCAACCTTTGCTCGAGTTGCATGGGTCATTCATAGAGAATGGGACATGTACCTGGATAATGCCCTCAGGTCCAGCAACCTCTCTGAAATGGGCTATAGATTTGTGGGACTAGGGGCCAGACCTAGTTTGGGGGGAACTAAAGGTGTCGGCCGAGTCAGGGGGAGCACCTGAGGGGGTGGACGGAGCCGATGGGGGAGGTTGGTAGGGAGGGGCTTCATCTGCCGGATAGGTAGGGGTGAGAATGAAGAAGAGAAAAAGCCTCAGCATAGGGGAACTTCTTCCACTTTTTCAAGCACTCACAGAAGTTAAACAGATCTCTGAGAATTGCAAGGTCTAGGGATCCTCCTGGGGGCCATTGACTTTGATTGTCTAATTGATAGTAAGGCCAATCGTGTGTGCAGAATTTAATAAGGGGGAGTCTACAGGGAGGGAAGAAAGGCCCCCATAGGTCAGGAGAGGGACAAGGGTGGGAGAGAGAGAGAGAGAGAGAGAGAGAGAGGAGGGAGGGCCTGTTCTTCCACCCCTCAGCACCTCTCCCCTCCAGATTGGGCGTCAGAGGTTTGCCGGACGATCACGGTCAAAGCCCCTGCGTAGCCCATCTGAAGTTGGATACCCAATAGGGGAACTCACCTACTGAAGATCTGGTGTTGTAAACAGCACTCGAAAGAGTGGACCAGGATGGCAAACCTTGAGAGAGGGGGCCCTCGAGCAGCGAGGCATTCTCCCTCCTGGCTTTCGGCACCAATGAAAGAACGAACAAGGCTTGTCGTCGGAGCAAATGCCTGTTTTTTGAGGAACAGCTCTGCATATTTATAGAGCCAGGGGTGGTTTGACAGTTGGCATGGGGTGCTTTTTGATTGGAGGGTAAGGATCAGGTGAGCCAGAAGGGCTAGTCTGATTGGTGGGTAAGGATCAGATGAGCCAGCAGGGCTCCCCATTGGACGGCAGGATCATGTGAGCCTAGCAGGGCTTACCATTGGACGGCTCTTCCTGGGGGATGGAGAAGTTAGTCTTTGGAGCCTGGGCGACTCCCAACAGGAGCATCCAGGGCATTCAGCAAGGGGGTACAATAGCAAGAGAAGGTCTGTAGACGTGGGGTGACTGTGGCTCTGTGTTGATCTCATCTGATGAAGTTCACACCATCCTCTGATGTGTCTACCTTCATACCAGGGTCTTCACCTCACAGAAACATCCAACTTTAGTTCTAAGTTGCACTGAGAAACTCCCACAACGTTCAGATAGATACTAGATTAAAATTTCTGAGTAAATAAATATTCAAAAGAGAATATTTCTCCTCCTGATTTTTTTTTTTTTTAATTCAGCGTCTCACATTCAATTTGGCTTTCTTCAAGTAAGGCCAACTGTTTCCAGTATTGGGTTGGGTTCGCGGAGCCTTGGTTGCCCTCTTCTGGTTTCCATCCTTCTCCAGGATCCCACCCTTCACCCCTGCCCCCTGGAAGCAGGGCTGGTGGTCATCCATTCTCACTCAGACCTCAGTCCTTTTCCATTGAAAAAGGTGATCACCCATCCCTGTGGACGATACAGAAAAGCTTTACTGGTGGGACTGGGTACACCTTCTGAACTTGGAAGAATGTGATTTTTCTCATGTAAAGGACAAGGAGAAAAGGGTTCATTCATCTTTCCTTGGTCCTTAATCATACAACTGTATTCTAATTTTTCGGTCCATGGATATTCCTCTGACTTTAGAAGAGGGTTGTTTGCGTAGTCGTTCTTTGACCTCAGTAGTGGGCCGACAGACCCTCTCTCTCTTCCTAGTTGTTGATGTGCACATTTGAGTCACCTTGACTTCTTGCCCACCTCCTCCTGCATCTGCTCACTGTACTTGTTTCTGACCTGAGCAAACTCATTTCCAAAGCTATAGATGTCCACAATACCTGGACAGCAGAATCGTTTTAAAATCAGAACACAAAACCGAATAAAATCACCCTTGGATTATAGTCGTCTTTATACTGACACTATTAGAAAATATAACTTCTGTTAGTTTTTAAATAAAGGAAGAGCCCACAGAGGCCCATGAAAGTCTCGAGGCCCTGCCTGGCCCTGGAGCTTCTCCCAGTGTCTGAGTTCAGCATTTTCCTGTGTTGCTATGAGGTCTGAGGTCACAACTCTCCTTCTGGTTGCAGAGTGTAGGAAATACTTTACTGCCCTCCTTGCTGACTGACTTTGTGTGGACCCTCCTGATGAAACTGTCTGAAGCCAGTTTTGAAATTGCCTCTGAGGCAGCCTCTATCCTGAAGCTGACTCTGCAGTATCACTCCCAGAAGGTCATCATGGTAAGACTCAGCAGTGAGCAAAGGCGGGGAGGGCTTATTCTCTCAAGTCTACTTTTTGACTTTGCTCTAAATCTATTTCTCTCAGTTTATAGTCCTTGCCATTTTTCATTCTGTCACTTTACTAAAATGAGGCTTTTAAATGAAATATTTTCACCACATAGAAAATTTTAGAGAATATGATAATGAATATCCACCCATCGATCATATTAAATTATGATATTTTGCCATATTTGATCTTTTTTAAAGAAATCTTTCAATAACAACAACAGTAGAGTTATAATTGAAATCTGCACAGCCTTTAAGGCAAGTTTTCAAGGACCCTCAGCTTGGCATAGTTTGTAGAGTCTAGGAAAAATGAAAGATGGACCCATGTCCTCACCATATGGGAATACAGTGTCATTATGTGTGTCAGCACACGAGGATGGTCACCTTTCCTCTGAGATCTCCCTCTCTCAAGTATTCATTATTTGTTGATGTTCGAATTTAATGTTTTTCTAAATAAAAAGAACAATTTTAGTTTTAAATAATTTTAAACTATTACATAAATTTTGCTATCCACATCTATATTGCAAAATGCCATTTACCAAAATAAAACAATTTATATTTTATAGCATATACACACAAATACATTTCATTGTTACCAAATGAGCAAAAACACTACCCAAAACTAATTCAGCTGCTTTTATTTTACTTGTTGTCGTTCACATATTCTAACATCCTCTCCTTGCTGATAAGTAAAGACAGATGGAAAGAATATATGGGTTTCTGCCTTAGTCTGCTTTGTGTAGCTATATCAGAATCCCTGAGGCTGGGTGATTTAAAACAAATAGAGATTCATTTCTTACAGTTTTGGAGCCTGGTAAGTCCCAGGTTGAGGATCCTGCATCTAGCAAGGGCCTCCTTGTGGCATCATCTCATGGTGGCAGGCAGAAGGGCAAGGGAAGATTGTAAGAGGGAGAGAGAGCAAGGGACTTTTTTTCAAGGAGCTCCTACAATGACTACCCCACTCACCCTGCTCCACAGAGTTCTCCTCTAACAGGAGGAAAGAGCATCCAAGGGAGGCTAGATGAAGCCATTCCAAGTCCCTGGAGAGAAAGAACACCACCAGAAAGCCAGAAACAAACATCCTCTGTTACAGTAAACCACTAACCACATAGAACGGAACAAAAATGGGGTTCTCTGACTTTATCACCCTTCCCCAGCTCCCACAGACAACTGGGCTACCAAGCATAGGGAGTTAAAAATATGCCCCCCGCCCCAGTGGCACATAATGATGGGTGGCCTTAGGAGCTCTGTGTGCGTCTAACCCATCGAGTGTTTCTCTGAGTTTGAAACAGATCATCACCCCAGAATTGAGCACCCAGGGCCGGGGCTGGCTTGTCCTAGGGCTGAGCCGCATCAGAGCAGGAGGAGGCCAAGCAACAGCAGCTCTGGGCCTACAGCGAGGAGGTCCCTGGAGGAGACGAGGTGTAGGTCTCTGGTGCTTGGAGCACCCATGGTACGGGAGGGCCCTGCACTATGTGAGACTTCATTGCTTTCAGACACATTCCAGGTCTAGCGGGGACTCTCCTGTTCAGGAATGAGTCAAAAAGGAGAAGTAAAACAAACATGGAACCTGTGAACAGAGTTTGCGAGATTATGGCGCAGGGTTCACCACTCTGGCTGATTCCTCTCATCCCAGTTCGCGCCCTCAATATGCAGATTCAGTTCTTTAATTCACAGAACAATTTTTGAGATAAATATGTCCATCATTATTCTACTCAATTGTTTTGACTTTCTTCTTTAAGATAATATATATTTTTTTCTATCATTAAGCTTGCATGACTTATATAATGAAGTCTGGCCTCCCAAAACAAATTTTCTAAAAATGGGCATTTCTCCAATATTCATGAATGCCCAGCTTTTTAAAATTATCACCGCATAGTAACACAGAAGAGCGAGACCCACTGTGGCGCCATCCTACAGGCTCACAGCATAATTTGATCAACTTCAGCCCCGGCACCTCCCCTCCTCCCTCCCCTGCCCATCCTCCTCTGCCTGCTGGTCCCCCTTCTACATAAATGCACTGTGTGGTCACACACATCACACACACTTTCTGCTGGTGCGTATTTGTGTGTTCACTGCTGCTCTGATCATTCTGAATTCTTCATGGAGCAATGCCTTGGAATTTCTCTTCCAGGTGTCTAAGATTGTGAATTTTATTTATAAGAAGCTGTGTGAAGATCCCTCCCACAGCATGAAGCACTCTATGCTGCGGGTCACCACCTTGCTGACGCGCACTTCACCCAAGAAGGTCATCTTTCAACTCATGGACTACCCGGTGCCCGCTGATGAGTAAGGAGACCCCCACTGCCCCCCCACCCCCATCCAGGTTTGTTCTCAGACTCCACAGTCAGAGGGACTTGGCTCAAATCTCCACCCGTCATGGTTAGGCCCAGTTTCTTATTTCTGAGGATATCTATTTTTACCTCATGTTGGATGATTGTAAGGCTTAGATAAGATCATATCTATTATTTGTGACCTTGTACGATACCTGGCTCACAGTAGGCCCTCAAGAAATGTCGATTATCTGAGGCTTTCAACTATATTCTATCACAGATCACACCGGAACAAACTTCTCAAAACGATGAAGGATCTTTTCTTCCCATTTATGAATTTACTCTTTTTTTTTTTTGAGGGAAAAAAATCATGGAGTTTTTTTTTTTTTAATGTTCTGAACAGAGTATATACTTTTTTTTTTTTTCCTGACTGAGAGATTGCTGGTTTTCAGGAGGCTGAACCCACAGCATATCTCACTATCCATTACATTCCTGGAAAGAGCACGGGGAGACTCGGTGTCCCCCCCCTTCAGCGTGAGGCACCGCTGTGCACACAGTGTCATCCGCCCTCCAGCCTTTGCGGGGGAAATAGATCCACAAGGACAAAACCTGCTGATAACTCCAGTGCAGACGACGAGCAGGGAGGCACAGGGAGCGGGCAGAGCCAGGCAAACCCACCACATGGCCCAGGTCTTACGCCCTGGTGAGCAAGGACGGGTGGAAAAGGCTCGGACCCGGAGCCAAGCTAGAGAAGTTATGAGCAAGATGCAAGAAAACAAGACAGGCCTGCGACTGGCTGTCCACGGGGTTCTCAGTGTGAGCCCCGAGGGCAAGGGCCACTCCACAGAGCTGGGTACATCCACGTAATCCAGGCCCCATAGTAGGTAGCCAGAAAGACTGAGCTAGAGGCACCAGAACCCTGCATAGATCCACAAGGTCTCGGGAATATATTGGCAAAAAGATAAGCAGCAGTTTTTAAGATGAGCAAAGGTAGGAATAATCATGAACAGCGGCTGAGTGTGTAGAGAAAGGATCTGAGGACTAAAGGGGAGAAGCCAGGGCTCTAGTCACATCTGTGTCACCATTAAAATATGGGACATTTAGCCAAAGGAGCTCAGGTTTTTATTTGTTTAGTTAGTTATTTTGTTTAGGGTTTTGATCTGCATTTGTATCCCCATGCCAGTCTTCAAGTGTGCCACTCTTCCTGGACTAAGGAGATCATGAGCTAGGGGAGCAGAGAACGGAGGGGTTCTTGCCATGAACTTGGCGGACATTTAAATAGCAGTAAGAAATGAACACACAGACATGCAGACTGTTTTTTGTTTTCTAAGATCTTATTTCACTTCTTCCTCTGTTTTTGAGGATAACGCACAGGTGGGATCACTGGAACCCGATGCCAGTCCACCTGGGGCTGGTCCCAGGCCGGCTTCCCGATTCCCGCCTCTGCCACGCGGGCTTCCCCTAAGGCCGAGCCCTCTGTGTCCACAGCACTCTAATACTGATGTGGCAAGCGGCGGGTTCCGAGGGCAGCGTGGCCCCTCTCGTGCTGAAGACTATCCTTCTGATCCTGAAGGGAAAGCCCGGAGAGACGGAGGAGGACATGGAGGAAAAGAGGCGCTTCTCCCTGGACGCCACCAACATGATGCCTGTGGCGGTAAAGGACACGCGTGCCTCCTCCCAGCCTTGTGTTCCTGTGGGGGGGGGGAGATCCCAGTCCCCCCTCGGGCACCCACTCTCCAACACCCTGTCAGACCTGGGAGCTTGCATTCTGCTGAGAATGGAGGCGAGGAACAAATGAGTGTGACACGTGTCAAAAGAAACCTACACGGGTGTGGGTGGGAAGGTGCCGGTGAGGTCAGCGGGTCAGGGCAGGCCTCTCTGCTGAGGTGACATCTAGTCAGACACCTGAGTCTGGGGAGGGTGGTCTTTGCATATGTCCAGGAGGAACAGAAGAGCAAATGTCCTGTGGTGACTGGAGCTCACCTGTGTTGGGGAACGCCGGGAGGCCCAGGAATCTGGCTGAACTGAGCCAGGGCGCAGGTGTAGGTGCCAGAGGGGCAGCCTCTGGCTAAATCACATGGTCATCTAGACACGGGAAGGGCTAATTGCACTTGCGTCCAGTGCATGCATCCCCAACTACCCAAATCACTATTTTGGAGAATAAATTCAGGTTTTGCAGAAATATAACAGAGGAACATGGCGAGGTGCTGGGATGTGAAGTTCTGCTGTGCTGGCTTCCCAGGGGTCAGCACACCAAAAGACCCGGGCACCAGCCGGCCCACCCTTTACCTATGCCGCTTCTCTGGATTGCTCAAGCACAGGGGGCCTGGGTTATTGGTAGGACTCTTCTTCACGGCCACTGATGAAGGACCTCGGGATGTGGGCCCTCCTGGGAGCCAGCTTGCTTGGTGCTGGTTTGGCAGCCAGGTTGACTGACGGGTGCTCTGGCGCTCCTGGCTCTGCTGTTGCTGGGGGGACAGCAGGCAGCGGCTGCCTTCCTGGGGCGGGAGGTTGCAGAGTTCTGCCCTTCTCCCGGCCAAGACTCACGGGCCTCTTCCTCCCGACAGGCGTCGCAGGCCCTGTGCACGTTTCTGCCCGTGGGCTCTTACAAGAAGGCCGTGGCCCAGTTCTTCCCGCACCTCCTGTTGGCCCTCATGCTGCAGCTCTTCTACAGCAGCCAGCTGAGAGTGATGCCCCAGGACAGGCCGCTGTGAGAGCGCCCACGACGAGCGTCCAGCCCTGGGGCCCCGGGGGCTCCTGCCTCCTGCCGGTGCATTCACCGACTGCCCTGTCCTCTCCTCTGAAGGGCGCAGTACCTTCCCAGAAGCGCCACCCGAGGACCTAGGCAGGACCCCCCCCCATGTGCGTGTAGAGGCCACCAGGCCCCAGGACACTGTCCACTCCTGTTGCTCTGTGGGGGCGGGGTGAGGGAGGAGGGGCAGCACTGCATCCCAGCCCAGCTGTCAGCGGTTTGCCTGGTCGGGTGTGGACATCTAAACCCGGGGGCACCCTGAAACAGGAGCCGGCCCTTGATGTATGCCCCACTCCCTGCTCTTTAGGCACCCCAGCAGATGGAAACCTATCCTATCTACTTATGGCATCCACCAAGGAAAAGGGACACCTTCAGCAGGCTGTCACATTGTCCAGCATCTCTTACAAATAAGCCCATAAACTAGCAAGAGGTTCTGTGGGTAGCCCAGGATCTTGCAGCTAGGGTTTAACCTCCACTCCTGATACTGCTGAGATGACCTTGTGGGGTGACCTCCTGCCTCTGAAACATCCCCTTTCTCCAAACCCTATCCTGCCTAAGATGGGGTGCAGGCCAGGTCATGCATACTTGGTTATGGGAAGTTCTCTGTCCTTTACCAGCTATGCCCGGGACGCCCTGAGAGCTCTGCTGAACTCTTCCGGATTACAAGAGGTGGATGCTGCTCTGAAGAAAAAGAACTGCTGGAACCAGTTTTCCCAAGCACTGTATCACCAACTCGGGGTTCACCTCATTGCCAAGTAAGAAAGGGGGCGCCGTGTAGGAGGCTTGGTCTCTGTGCCACCTTCTCCACCTTCCTTCATGTGGGTCACAGAGAACACAGTTGGCATCTCCTCCAGCGTCTAAATCTCTCCATATGATCTGGATTGGCTCTGGATTCTTTTTCTTCAACTATTTTGAGGAGTTTGGGGGGGATATTTTCCCTATCCTTCTCTTTTACCTGATGATACCCAATTATCCTCTCTCCACAGAACAGGTTTCTCTTGCAGGTACCTTTCAGAGGACCAAAGGTAATTCTGGTTTTTCCCTTCTGATGTTAGCCGTTTCCTGCTCTTCAGGCACCAGATCTTTCTAGATGTGCTTTAAAGAGCTCCAGTAAAGACCTGTGTCCAATGAGCCAGATAAGTTTTGGAAAATGTGATAGAACGGAACTTTCAGTTTTCGTGTACTGGAAAGGTTGTTTTCTCGTTAGTCTTCAGTGAACAGCACGCTTAGGATTACAGGGATCTGCTTTTCTGATCAAGAATTAAGCTACGGTGCCTTGTCAACATGACAGACCATTTGAAGCTGTGCCCAACCCAGAAAGGACAGCCTATGTGGTTCACGGGTGCCTTTAAAAATGGCCACTTGTTTGCACTTCCTGTGTAAGAGTGTAGTACTCCTGACCTACAAGTGGACCCTAATTAAGTGTCACCCTGTCCTTAGCATTTATGGATCCTCTGACTCCAAGCTTGGTACAGACCAGCAGCAACAGCATTTTAACTGGGAGTTAAAACTCCAACTCTTGTATTAGCAAGGTCCGGCTGGTTTGAATGCACCTTAAAGTTTAAGGAAGCCAGTGTGGAGTCCTGACATGGAAGCTCTGCCCCTTCCTGATCCTGCCTCTACTGAGCTGATCCAGGCCCATGTGTCGGGACCACTGTGAGCCCAGCTAGTGCCCAAGGGTCTGGAGGATGGCTTAGTGCGCCAGAGCTCGCCGCCTCTTCTCCTGAGCAACCCAAGATGGGCCCTGACTCTCTCCTTCCTCACAGCATTGAAAGGAAGAGCTTGATTCGAAACCCCATAGGTGACCTGCGTGGCTGTCTTGGATCGTGCTTTAGACGTCTATTTCTCCTCCCTTTGGACAAGGACTGGGGGCTTGCACAGAAATAGCTCCTCCTGTTGTGTGGCCAAGGATGTGGGAGACGGGATAGAGGAGCCATGTCAGGAAGAAACGGCGGCAGGCCCAGGGCCGCTGGCTCTGCAGGCTGTAGAACCCGTGGTGGGCTGCGGCCTCCCCTGGATGAGGGAACGGTGGGCAGTGTCTTGTCCTTCCCACCTGCGAGCTGGGAGGCTGAGGGCAGAATCCTCTCTCCTCACTATCAGGATTGGCCGACGTGGGCTCTCCGTCTCTGCTCATCTGGGGCTTCTTCTCCTTTACAGAACTCTCAGCGAGTTCAACTTCCCACAGTTTCCAGAGACTCTACATTATTTCTACAAGATCTCCGTGGAAGGTCCTAGAAGGTCCGAAGACAATATCGTCACAATAATATTCTTCACTGAAGTGAGTTTCTAGGAGAGCTTGAGTGGTGTCTGGTGCCTCCCCTGGCCTTCACCAAGCCGCCCACAGCCTCCCCCTCCACCCCTGCCCGTTCCCACCAAGACTTAGGAGAACGGCGGCGGGGAGTGGGCTGAGGCAGGGCCCAGGGAGGGGAGCCACATCTGGATGAGGGAGGCCGCCCCTGTGGATTTTAGCGTTTCTTTAAACCCAAGTGACACGTCTGTTTCCAACTGTCAACATCAGATGGTTATTATTTTTCACTGTTTTGTGACGTCCTTATTATATGTCTGTCTGACTGCTGTGGTTTAGGATATTGACCCACAAACTGGAGGAGGGGTGTCTGGCAATTCCAGGGGCTCCTAGGCTTGCAGTTCCATGCCATGGACGTTAAATAAACGTCTTGCTCTAGGGAAGTGGTGGACACTTCTGATGAGGTGTGTAATTTGGAGGAAAGCTCTCTAGAAGATTGTGGAAGGGAAGCCTGACCCCTCCCTCTCACCCGCTCTTGCTGTACCATTTCCTTCCAGTTTTCTCCTGTTTTCCCTGTACACTTTACCTATCTGAGCAATGTTTGAAATTCTTCCATGAAAATTGTGTGTTTTTAAAGCTGTCATTGCATATCTTAAGAGATTTTCAAAATGCACATATTTGAGTGCCTGTTTTAGGTGCAAGATGGCTCGTGATAATCACGTCTTTGGGGGAAACTGGCTGTTACAGACTAAACCTCCTCAACTTGGCCCCCAGGTCCCTCCTGCCTCCTGTCCTCCCTGCCCCCTACCCTATGGCTGCTCTTTTAAAAGGTGCTCAGTCACACCCTGCCTCATCAACCTCAGGGCCTTAGTACATGATCACCATCCCTGGAAGTGTCTTCTTCAAACACTTTATCCAGCTAATGCCAACTTGGCCTTCACGTCTAAATCTAAATATCACTCTTCATTCTAAATCAAATTTTCATCACAGTCGAAATCCAGTACCTGGTGAATGCATCTGCCAGCTCTCCTTCCTAGCCCTGGCCTCAGCTCACAACTCGGCTCCTTCTTTGAACAGTGTCTAGTATTGTCTTGCAGGGCACCAGCCTCTCGGCTCATCCGTAACTCACAGGGTCATGGGCTGGGACTCTTTTGCAAACCAGGCCGTTTATAGGCATCACCTGTGGGCAACATCCCGGGTCAAAAAAACTCCATCCTGTGAGTGAGTCTTAAATGGGTCATTCAGTTTCCAATGATGAAGAGAAGCCATGAAAACAAAGCAAAGCATCTGTGAGTTACTCTAGTTGCTGTCCCCTCTTCTATGAGCACCCAAATGTGTAGAGACATACACACAAGCTCTTGGAGTTGGTATTCTGGTTTGCTGAAAATGTCTTGATTTGACGCCAGGCAGAAATCAGACCACAGCTGGCCTGAACTCATCATTAACTTATTAACTCTTTTCTTTCAGCTTCTGAATAACTTCTTCAAGGACCCATTCCCAGAAGAATTTATGGTCCTCTACAAAAACTGGATCAACGATTCCAACCCTGTGGTTAGCAAGTTGAGTCTCCAGAAAATCGCCAACATGGCCCCCGTCATCAATGAGGTACGTGGGGGCGGTGGGGTTGTGTCCGCCCGCACCGCCAAGATCATAATTGGATATTCTGATGCTGCTGGAGATCTTTATGATAAAACATGGATATTTTTTCAGTTTCTGTAAACCACAGCACACTTAGTATTTTTTTTTTTTTAATAAGAATACTGAGTTAAAAGAGGAGAATATAAGCCAACTTCGGGGCTTTAACACCTTATTTATAAATTTTCCATAAAATCATTCATTGCCCTCAGAATTTATCACCCGTGGCCTCCAGGAACACCCCTCTTCCAGTCTACACCACAGACTCCTCAGCAAGTTTCCCTCCAGCGCACACGGAGCACTCACCAAGTCCCATCCGGGGAGCACTCAGCTTCTCCTTCCACGCCTCACCCTCTCTGTCACCTGCCACAGACACATTTTTCTCCTTTCCCAACCATCAGCTCAAGGTGGACCTCACTGAATGAGGCCCTTCTCAGAGCCAAACCCCCCATGAGCACTGCCTCATGTCACAGACCCCAAAGTACGGCTGTAGAGCCACCAACATCACCACCACCTGGAGGCCTGTTAGAAACACAGATCCGGGGGCCCACCCCACCCTGTGGAATCAGAAATTCTGGGTTGAGGACCTTCAGTCTGTGTGTTAAAAGAATCTTCGGTTGATCCTAACACAGGTTAAGAGTCACCGTCTGGCCTGGTTCCCCCTGAGTCAGACGAAAGTCCTCCAGTCCCAGGAAGTAAGCCTGCCTCTGGGTTCTGCAATTCCAAACTCCAACGGGTCTTGTACCACGCAGAGACTGCAGATGCTAGTGACTCATTGTTGATTTAAGAATGAGCCTGATAATAAGTAATAACTAATAATATAACTAATAATAACTAACAATGATGACTCCATTACCTATTCAGCATAGTCTCCAAAAGCTCAAGGCCTGTCCGTAAACACCACTTTTGCATTTAGAATAGCATGAGCCATGGTCTGTTTGCTTTAAATAAAGCACGCAAGTGAACAGGTTTATCGGCAGCAAACATTCTTTTGGGAAGCACCAAGTTCTTCGTTGCTTCCTCCAGAGCTCTGGCCAATGTCATTGGCGAAATGGGGGCTCTGTGTCCAGAATGGCGAGGAGAGTGAAATAGAAGTACTGCCGTGATCTGGGCTCAGGTTTCCCAGCTGTTGACGAAGCCCAGTGTTTCAGCTGGATACTGGCCTCCACCACTCAGGGGTGTAGAAAATAGTCAACTGTCACCAAAATAATCGGGAATCCATCACTTTGTAGTATTACCTTTGGTTTTATTTAATGCTAAACTAATACAATTTAACTTTTAATAGTGACTTTTTAAAAAATATTTTTAGTTGTCCATGACCTTTATTTTTTATTTATGTATACGTGGTGCTGAGGATTGAACTCAGTGCCTCGCACATGCTAGGCAAGTGCTCCACCATGAGCCACAACCCCGGCCCTGACTTTTAATAATGACGTTTTAAAAATAATAGGCCACAAAATTTTTGGCAACTTGACAAGTGACTCTTGCGAGCCAGGGCCAGCAGGCCAGACTGAGACGTGCAAGCCAAACACTAGCTCTAATCTTCTCCAGTTCCCAAATCCCACCATCTTCCTCCTTTCACATGCAGATAGAAAATGTCTGCAGCCTACTGACATCCATCCTGGAAGCCTTCCATTCCAAGGAACACACCGTTGTCATCCGGGCCTTGCTCACCCTCCGGAAACTTCTATGCAAACTGGACAGGGTGATCTACTCCTCACTGTGCGCCAAAATCGCTTCCAGCTACTGTCCTCTGATGGATCACGTGAGTTAGGTGGAGAACTGAGTAGAGGAGCCGGGAGGTTGTGGGGTTCAGCGGAAGCCCCAGTGGAGATCCTGTCGTAGCCTGGCCTCACCAGCAGGCGGCAGCCTTCCCCCTAGAGCCAGCTTTTCTGCTCCAGGCATGAGTATTTGTGGGACCCTTTTGTTTAATTACTTTTTAACTACACTGTGACAATCTAGAAAAGTTTGTCCCTAAGAAAGGAGAATCAGGGCTGGGGATGTGGCTCAAGCGGTAGCGCACCCGCCTGGCAGGCGTGCGGCCAGGGTTCGATCCTCAGCACCACATACAAACAAAGATGTTGTGTCCACCGATAACTAAAATGTAAATAAATAAATAAATATTAAAATTCTAAAAAAAAAAAAAAAGAAAGAAAGGAGAATTGAAGAACAGTCTGTGATCATGGGTGAAAGAGGACAGTAAGTTAATGGTGTCCATACTAGAAGATGATATTTCCTCAATACTAGAAGAGAAGATTGTATTTTTTAAAATAGTTTCTGACTCTGGCTGAGATTTTTCTCTTCCAGAGTCTTCATAATGCAATCAGCTCCTACTTGGCCAGCTGTATGCCTGTAGGTGAGGCACTCCCATCGCTATTCATTGGCAATTCCACAAAGTCCTCTAGCCTTGGACACAGCCTGGGTGAATTATCCCCAATTATACAGACTATTCCAGTTTATATTTTGAGGCCATGATTAAGTGCTATACATCTTCCTAAATTTAAGAAATTCACTTTTTACACAAGATTTTTTTTTAACGCCATCTGAATTCTGGTAAGTAAAACTTTTCATGTTTTTTTTTCAACCAGTTTCAATATTTTTCCTAGTTAAAGCATAACTGACAAATGAAAATTACATACATTATTTTTGTCCAATGTGACATTTTGATATATGCACACACTGTTAAATGATTAAATCAAGCTAACCAATGTAATCCATCTTTTCACATATCATTTTTTTTTATGGTGAGAACATTTTAAGATCTAATCTCTTTGCAAGTTTCAAGTACAAAATGCATTATGGCTGACCATAGTCAACGTGCTATACATTATTAACACTCCAAAATGTATTCATCCGTCTAACTGAAGCTTTAGACCCTCTAAGGAACACGTCTTGCATTCCTCCACCCCAACCGCCTCCACCTCCTGGTGACCACTGTTCCACTCTGTGTGATGAGTTTGACTCCCTCAGGGTGTGTGTGTGAGGACAGCAGGCAGGGATTGTCTGTCTATGCTGTGCCTAGCCGAGTTCACGCCATGTAGTGTCCTCTGGGGTCAGCTGTATTTTTTGCAATGATTTTCTTCTTTATTATGACTAAGAGTACTTGTGGGACAGAGGGGAGGTGCACACTCACACGTGTGGCCTTTATCCATTCTTCCATTAGTGGGCATTAGGTCAATTCTACATCTTGGCTATGGTCGATAATGGGTAAGTAAATCTTACGTTAAAACCAAAAGAAGAGCTTTGTAGATGAGATCTTTCCTAAAAGTAAATAATAATTTCATACATTTGAATATACACATATAGGCATATAAAATAGATAGATGGGTAGATCGTGTTGATTGAAGAAAGCAGTGTGCTCAGATGAGGCCCTTTCTCTTTTCCGCATGCACCTGGCAGAGCAATGGGGGTATTCGGAGCATGGCCATTCGACACTTTGGTGAGTTGCTGAAGGATATGAGTCAGTACACCTGGATGCTGAACCCTTTGGCCCTTGGAGCCTTGGTGCCCCTGATCCTGTTTTTGGAGGACAAGGAGATAAGAGTCTCAAAAGTAAGACTTTTTCCCCCCCTTAATTTTGCAGAAAATCACAATGTTTTATGCAACCACAAAAGAAGAGATCTTGAGGGACCTTTTTGTATCTCACAGGCATGTAAATACACATTAAGAATCTGTGCCTCACAACTGAGGTGGCCCACACCAGTTTTTCTCAAAGATGAAAATTACAACTTTGAGCTGGTGGTGCTCAACATCTGTAACCACCTTGTAAGTAGCCCTTCCCTCTTCCACCAGTCAGACCCACAGACAGAAGGGAAGGGCCGCACAAAGTGACGAAATGGGGGAGGGCAGGGGCGATCCTGAGGAAAGAATGTGAAGAAAACATAACAAGTAAGTGTGATTGTGGCCAGGCTTGAGATGGCCGAAAACTAGAATTCCCCACTTCCTCTTCTTCTTGGAGTTCCTTTGCCACCCCTCGTGGCCTGGTCCCCTGAAAACCAGCGTGGGCAGTGGAGACACGTGGGGGTGGCAGAGAGCTCAGCACAGGTGGGTTCCCGCATCCCATCGTCAACAGCTCAACGCCTGCCAGAGAGTGTGTCACACACAGGACGCTCCAGGCTTCGCTGCTGCTGATACAGTGGGAGCAATCGGTGTCCTCTGTCTTAAAGCTTCTCTGAAGGGAGAGAAATGTCTTTTCAACAATCGAGAGATGGTTCTTTCCCTTTTTTATTCTTAGGCGGCTTCTCACGAGAGCTACATTACAGATTTAATATCTGATACCTTAGGGTTCCTGGGGAGCTCCCGGCCATACCTGAGGAGAGGATCGGTTATTTTAGTAGGTAAATAAATTTAATTCTATTTCTTGTCTTTCAAGGTACAGAGGAGTCTAGCAGTGTAAGTCTGCATTAAAAGTCACAAATCCTCTCTGTTTATGATGCCCAGCGCCTATGATGGTGCCACCTGTGATGAACAGAGGCTAATCATGAGCTGAGAGCAGAGGTGCCTTTGCAATGCAGTTAGCGTCTGTCTGGTCAAATGATCGCCAGAATGCATTCAACAGGGCGATTTCAGACTTTCAGACAGAGACCTATCACAGCTCATCCTTCCTTTCACTGCCTGAAAGTCACTGTCCAAAGAACAATTTTAAAACATGCACCAACCAACACCATCGTCAGCAAGTCTTGGACATCTGCAGCCACCAACTACAACAACGAGGAAGAGCTTTTCTGAGGAAAGTAGAGGCAGGTGGATGGAGTCCAGCCAGACTCCAGAGGGGACAGCGGAAGCCCCCGGGGTGGTCAGCTTGAGGGAGGGAGGGAGGGCTTCTGAAGGGAGGGAGGGAAGAGGATGAGAGAGGAAGAGAGATGGGAAGAGGAAACACGGGAGGAAGGATGGACAGAGGGGAGGGGGGACATCTAAACCTGAACGTTGGAATGTGTGCAGTACACCTGTGAAGAAAACTTGCAGACATTACTGAACGACACAAACCTTGAATAAAGAGAAGGGAATAAATCATGTCTCGGGAAAGACAAAACCAAAACAAAAAAAAATGGATGAAGCCAGGCGCGGTGGAGCAGGCCTGTGATCTCAGCAGCTCAGGAGGCTGAGGCAGGAGGATCCCGAGTTCAAAGCCAGCCTCAGCAAAAGCGAGGCGCTAAGCAACTCAGTGAGACCTTGTCTCTAAATAAAATACAAAATAGGGATGGGGATGTGGCTCAGGGGTCAAGTAGCCCTGAGGTTAACCCCTGGTACCTCCCCCCAAAAAATGTATGAATTCTTTCTAAATTTATACGTGGAACCAGATGCTAATTAAAGCACCAATAGGATTTCTTTTGTTTAAACTAGCATGCTGATTCTCAAACTAAGTATAAAAGTAGGCAAGAAAGAATGAGGAGGGGGAACTGGCCCCATCAAACCACAGGCAATGATCAGACAGATGAAAGCAACAGGATGCCATGCAGACCGCCCAACTCATGCAGCATTTTAGAAAGTGAATAGTGGGCCTCTTAGACGATGTGGGGCACCTAGTAAGCCACTGGGAATTTTTTGAATTATTTTACTCATTTTTAACTTTTTGTATTAAATAAATTCCATATAATCAAAGAGTCAAATGCTAAAAAATCAACTCATAATTATAAATAAAACAAGATAAAAACAATCCGGAATATCTGCCTTATAATCATGGAAGAAGGAAAAGTTTTCTAAGCAAAAGTCTAAACCTAGCAGCCATAACAGAAGATAACTGTTAACTACATGACAATCTTGGTGACGCAAAACCAGTAGAAACCAAGTTAAAAGCCAAATTGAGGTAAAATATTTATACTTATCACAGATAAAGGGTGAATACTCATTACCAAAGGAATTCTTACAAATCTATTACACAACCAATTCAGTAGAAAAATTGGCAAAGAATATATGAAAAATACATATATTTGGCACTTATATATGACCTTTCACAATTTTACACATACAGTAAAGCAAATTGAATGGTGAAATGTTTCCATCCATGAGGTTAATGAAAATCAAAAGTTTTTTACTAGCTGAATACTCTGGTAACATCTGTAATTTCAGCTACTAGGGAGGCTGAGGCAGGAGGATCACAAGTTGGAGGCTAGCCTCAGCAACTTAGTGAGATTCTGTCTCCAAATAAAAAGTAAAAAGAGCTGAAGATGTAGCTCAGTGGTGGAGTGCCCCTGGGTTCAATCCCCAATACTGAAGGAAAAAAAAAAGTTTTATACTATACATTTTGGCCAGGTGGCAAGAAAAGAGCAATCACACTAGTGACACCATAAATTGCTACTTTCTCTAAGGAGGGCTATTTGAAATACAGAAAATCCACATCTTCATACAATAGCTTATATTTAACCAAAATTAGCCAGTCTCATAGAAATGCTTTCAATCAGAAGGAAAAAACCATAGAAGTGGAATCCAGGATGTGTAGTTGTTGAAGATATTATAGTTTAAAATACACATGACTAATATATTTGAATGATTAAATAATGAGATGGAATGCAGAACTCAATGGATGGCATTCAGCAGCAAATTAGAAAGAAAATAAAAGAGAATGAGAGAATCAAATGTGTCACAGCAAAGGATTCAGTCCCAAGATCAACGCTTAGAGAAATAAAAATGGATAATGTGGAAAGAGCATGAAATACTACGAGACATGGAGAAAGCTTCAACGTTCATGTTACAGGAGGAGGAGGAGAGAGCGAGGCAGAAGAAACCACCTGAAGAGATAAGGCTGTGAATGATCCAAAACTGAAATAAGGCAACAGCAAGAAATAAAATATCTAAGTTTGAATAAAAGAAAATAAAACTTTCAACATTTCCACAAAAATGTTGGCACGTTTAGAACATTGGAGAGAATTCTTAAAAAATACTCATTAAACGAATTTATCAAAGTTTCTAGATACAACACCAATACACAAAGATCAATTGGATATTGGTACACAAACAAATTGAAAAATTAAATTTTTGAATTATCAAATATAACTCCAAAAATATAAAATATATTAAAACTAAGATGTGCAACACGGATACACAAGAAAGCAGAAAACCACAGAAGTTAAAAACAAACAACAACAACAACAAAAACCCAGGTGAAGCGCTATCTCCTGTTGGTGGATTGAAGGATGACATGCGTCACAGTCTCCCCGAGCCCTCAACCTGGTCCTGAGCAGATCCTTACCTGGGGTTTGGAGGTGTGGGTGGAGCTGGAGGGCTGATCTAAACTTTATGTGAAAATTGAAAGGTCTGAGAGCCATGGTGACCTGAGGGGAGCCAAAGCTGAAGGACTCGTACTCCTGGACATCGAGGCCTCTGGATGAGGCGGGGAATGTCTCCAGGCTTTGGGGGGAGTGAGAATCGGTACAAGCACTTTGGAAGACTGTTTGGCAGTAATTATTAAAGCTGAACATAAGTATCTCCATTATTCAGTAAATGCTAGTTATATACCAAGCAGCAATTCGAATTCATGCACGAGAATGTCCATACACCATTACTCACTGTAGCCCCAAACTGGAAACAGCACGAATGTCCACCATTGGCAGGAGAAAAAAAAAAAAGATGGCTGCATTCATAAGATAAAACACACAGTGGAACACGCCTATTAACCCCAGCAACTCAGGAGGCCGAGGCGGAGGATGTCAAGTTGGAGGCCAGCCTCAGCAACTTAGCGAGATCCTGTCTCAAAAAGGGCTGGGCATGATAAAGTGCCCCCGGATTCAATCCCCAGAGCTACTAAAAATAAATATAAATAAAAAGATAGAACATCATCTAGCAGGGTTCAGTAAACTTTTTTGAAAACCCGATAGTTTAATATTTTAGGCTTTGAGTGCCACCGAATCTCCATTGGAGGTACTCGGCTGTCATAAGGCGAACGCAGGTAGAGATGATGTGTAACACGGAGCCGGGGTGCACAGTGTGTTTCAAGAAAACTGAGCTCTGCGTGTACCCATGGGAATGGACGGACCATGGCTGCATCAAAGACCGTGGGGATCCCAAGCTCAAGTGCAGCAAGAAGGCAGACCCTGAGAGCGTGCTCTGGAAGGTGCAGGAAGAAACTGCAAGGGGCTTGAGGAACGCCTCTGGGACTCTGGTGACCTCTGAGACACTGGTGACCTCTGGGACACTGGTGACCTAGACGTAGGGAAGATGAGTTAGCTGCAGAGTGACTCATTAACCCCGAGTCTCGTCATCCCGCTTGTGGAACACCTGTGAACCTGACACTGAGCCACAAAGACCCCACTCAGGGTGACTGTGAGATAAATATTTGTGTTTTTCAAGCTCTATTCTTAAAAAAAAAAGTAATAATAGGTGAATGATTTGTGATGATACTTATTAATTTTTAGCTATAACAAATTATATAGGAAGTGCTAGATTATGATTTACAACTTATTTTAACACATCTGTGTCAATTTCATTAAAAAATTCACAGAATTGAAAACTTGGGTTTAAACTTGGGTCAACACAGGCATGTGTTTCAATAAATAGTCTGTAACAAATAGTTAAATAATAACCATTTGAAAGCACTAATGGATGATTGGAAGATCATCTGTAGATACTTTGCGTTAAGGAAAGCAAAGCTTGTAGCCAGGTAACAGCAGGGAATGCACTTTCTTGATGTACTTTGGTGTAACTTTAATCCACTCTGTGCTAGGGTACTTGGCACAGTTGGGTGCGTATTTACTACTCAGAGATGAAATCGAAGTCATGCTGGAGGGTAAGTACTGAGGTCATGATGACACATCCATGCATAGGTCCAAATAAACTCTCCACTTGTGACTCTGGTCACATGAGTTCTACATGAGGGTGCCCGTCTTTCCCTGCAACCTGACCACTCCCCCTGGAGCCCTTGGGAACTGCAGTGTTGGGGACTCCCTCACTCCTCCAACCAGCAAGTGCCTCTCCAGCCCCTCCTGAGCCACAGCACTATCCAGCTTCTGGGCCCTCAGCAGCAGCAGCAACCACCACCACCAAAGCCTCTTCCCTCCTAGCATTCCCACTTTAGTTGACGGTAACATCCATCCCACTGGCAGAGGAGGGAATTCTAGCAGGGTCCTGTTGTTCTCCCACAATGTCTGAGTCTTAGGCCTCTCCCCCTCTTAGCCTCTGTTGCCTCTTCAGGTCAGAATTAATTACTAGCAGGTGAGTTAGAAAATAGGGGAGCTGCCTTCATTTCTTCCTTTACAAATAAAAAAAGGAGGCTTTATTTTTCAGAGCATTTTTAGGCTCACCTACGAAGTTGAGCTGCAGGTACAGAGGTGCCCCATCACGTCCTCCACTGTCAGCATGCCCCAGCCGGTCCCACGTTTCTCACTCCCTATGAATTTATGCTGTCCCCTCCTCTCACCTCGCTGGCTCACTAGGGGGCGCTCTCCTTCATTCAGCAGCACCAGGATTCTCCCTTGGTCTCTCTTACCACCTCTTTCCTCTCTCTCCTCCTGCTCCTTCTTCCCACCCTTTCTTTTCTAAAGGTCCCTCCTTATTCTGCTTCTTTTATTAAGAAATGAAATCATCATTCCCCACTTCCTGCTGTCGCATAGGACCCCATTAGCATTTTGCTATATGTGTTATCCCAAATATTTTTTAAAACATACATGCCATTGCATATTTAGTATTCACAACTATCACAACTTTTTTCACCTACTTATGGGTCAAACACCTCCCATGCCAAGGAACATGTGCCCATCTCATCTTGTTAAAATGTGTACATTATTTCATTTTATGGTAACCTTAACTTTTAAGCAGCTCCTAGGGTCTAATCGTGTAGCTGAATAGCAAACATTTTTCACGATTATGATCAATATAATGTGTGTACATAAGCTTCATGAATCCATGTTGATGCTACCAAGCACATAATAGAAACTCAATAGACATTTAGTGAATATTTCCATTTTTCTTTTAATGAGATGCTATTCATCTCCCTCAAGATGGGGGAGAGTGAGAAGAGGGGCGGGCAGGAAGGAGACTGTGGAGGGCAGTGGGGTTGCTGAGGGCTGGAGCTTCTTGGCCTCTGAGAGAGAGCTGCTTCAAACCAAGTGCCCTTTTACCGTTGCAGTTATTGAAAAAGCAGTCCGGGATGAAGACCCAGTGATTCGGGAGTTAGCAAAAAAAACCCGTGATATTTTTAGGGAAATAGCCCACACGATGACCTCCTCAACTATCAAACAAACCTTCCGAAGATGGTTTAAGTTCATGTACACCAGAAAATTGAAGCCTCTTTACAACTGGCCCAAGGACTACACCCACCCCCCTGTAGATCCTACGAAAGGCAATAAGGAGGGCTTCGTGGAAGAGGAGGAGGAGGAAGAGGAGCAGGAGATTTTGATCAAGAGCGACAGGTGCGAGGCCATCTTGAAGCAGCCCAAGGAGGGCGAGTCAGATTTCCCCTCCCTCTGAATCCCCTGAGCCCATCGTAGATGCTGATCTGGAGGACGCTGGAAGCGTTCACTGCCCCTTCTTAATCCCTATTAAAGAAGTCTGGAAAGACGGTGCTTGTCTGTCTGACGTGATCAAACCCACTGACCCTGGAAACGCAGTCCCTCCTCAGTCTTGGTGGCTCCGGTTCTAGTGACTCCCGTGTATCAAAGTCTGTGATGCTCAAGTACAGGACACAATAATGGCCCGGTGGCTGCACAGAATGTGCACACATCCTGCCACGGGGGTGGAACCACCTCTGATTACACGCAGCTCTCTGATTACATGTAAATACCATGTGAACAGCTGTTATCGGTGTTCTTTAGGAAATCGGGACCAGATAAAAAGTTCAGGACGTGTCAGTACAGGTGCGGGGTCTGTCCAATCTCAACAGAGCTTGCCCCCACGGGTGTGGCACCACGAAGATGGAGGCCGGCTGTTTAAGTGAAGGGTTTGTTGAGAGGCTGTTGGAACTTGTTTCAGCATCGACCGAGCACCTTCTGCATGCCACATCTGTGCTGGGCAGTGGGGACACTTGGATGATATGAATGAGGCTCCTCAGAGCAGGTCATGCAGCATGGTCCTCTGTGTCTTGCTGGGAGGAAGGTCACCTGGTTCACCCTTCATGAACCAGCAGTTGGCCTTGAAGGGAAAGGGGAAAGGGAGGAGCAAGTGGCTCCAGTGGACCCTGAGGCAGAGGGTGACGGGAAGCTGAGGAGCCTGTCAGGTCAGCTGTGGGCAGAGAAGGGGAGACCCAGGAAGACGCCGCCGTGGCCAGGTGCCAAAGGGCCTGAACACTCTGAAGTGCAGCTTGGACAGTCGCTCATAGTGACCACTCCCTGTTCCCCCCAGGACCCAGTCCCATGCTGCCCGGGACTACTAAACTATAGTGACCTCACCGGAGCACTGGGTCCCGGGCTCATCCTTTCCCCCTCCCATCCCGCCCCTGGGGCCCCAGCACCTGAGCCACAGCAGACACCTGCGCATAGGTGTGCACCTTCCCTGTGGTTGGAGCCACGCTCCGTGGCCTGCTCCTTGCCGCTCACCTGCATCCTGGTTTCTCTGCTGGGTTACCTCTCCGCAGAGGGACACAGCCGCCCCCTTCCCTGGATCCTCCTCCAGCGCCTGACTCCTGGGCCAGGTGTGTTAGGTCTGATGACAGAGGACACCTGCTCCTCCTGCAGCACACTCACGTGATCCACATCAGTGTTGGAGGCAGAAAGGGCACACCGTGACCTGCTTCCCCTTCACGCGAGCTCCCCTCCCACCGCTCGCCCCCGCAGGCACCAAGCTCCAGCATGGGATGCGGAGGCAACAGCCCGCGGGGATGATTCCCTGTGCCCCAATCCCTCACTCACATCCTCACCCCACTTTTCCAGTTGCACCAACCGGTAGAGCTGGGGTGCACTTCCACACCTCCTCAGTCTGCTCTGGGGGTGCTGTTGGGTGTTTTGCTGAACACCCTGGTTATACTACTCTCTGCATTTACGAGAATGTAGTAAAATTATCTGTTTTCTTCTGCTCTGTCCCGTCCGGCAGGACACATCAACGTGGGCAGCGAACCTAGATGGGGAGGAATGAAGGGACAAGAGACACGAAAGGTGACAGCAAGACAAAAGTTCTGATCAAGCTGCAAACTTTTATTGTTCACACAGGGGTATTTATATGCTGGGGATGGGGAAGCTCTCTTATCGGCAGTTGCTGGATGTCTGCACAAGGTGAGATAACCGCAGGATGTTTCAGGAAGATAGGTTTCAGGAAGATAGGTGGCCACAGGATGTCTCAGGTGAGATAAGTAGCTGCAGGATGCCTCCCAGGCAGGATGTCTCCCAGGGGGCTGTCAGGCTAATCTTTGAAGGAGAATTTCCTTCTAGTCCCTGACACTGCTCGGTAAAACCGGAGTTTCTGGAAAGCAAGGGTCATCTCTACACTTGGGTGTGTGCTCTGGGACTCACAGCACCTGGCCCTTGATGTATGCTCAGCGAATATGGGTCAAATCAGTGAAATGCCAACGGAACCTGTTCCCCTCCTGCTCCAACAAAAACGTTCACACATTTATAAGTGCTACTCAATGGAAAGGATGAGCAATGAATCACTTTATTTTTTCCCTTAACCCACAATGTTATATCACCCAGAAATCCCAGAATTCACCTTTCACGATTAGGCAACGTTCTTTTCCCATCCACTAAACCAGTAGGATACCTAGACAGGTAGAGTCAACAGGGACCTTCCCAAGAACATCCCATTCCTGATTCCTGAATCTGAAAATGTTGCTTTACATGGTGAAAGAACATTTTCAGGGGTGATCATGAATTGTGAGAAGGGCAGGTTATGGTGGTCCCAATGTAATCACAAGGGTCTGTATCAGAGAAAGATGGGAGGTCAGTGGGAAAGAAACTTTTGAAGCTGCTGCTCTGCTGGCTTTGAAGACTGAGGCAGTGGCCATGAACCAACAGATGCAGCTCTAGGAGCTGAGCAAAGCAAGGCAGAGGTTTCTCCCTGAGGGTCTCAGAGTGAGCGCGGTCTTAAGGATGTTTTGCTCCAGCCTGCTCCAGTCAGGAAAAATTGGTTCGATGGCAATCTGCTGGAGGCTGAGGAGAGGTGGGTATAGTCAGAAGGGCCACCAAGCTGCACGGTGGTTTTTCAGATGAGGGCATTGGTGGGGACTGTGCCTGTGGGAGCCAGAGGTGGGCTTGCTCCTCCATAGCACTCTGAATACTTCAAAATGCGGTAGCATACCTCTTGCAAGGGTCAGCAGCCCACTTGTCCGCCCCAGTAAAGATGGAGTCATATGGAAGAATTGAGGCCTCAGGAAGTCAAATCAACCATCTTGCGCCACCTTAGACTCTTCAGTGACTAAGACCTCCCCCTGCACCTCTCCCTGACCACCTGCCGTGACAGGGAGGGAACTTAATGTAATTGAACCAGGAATCTGTACCCTGGAAGGAGACTGGTGAAAAGTACTCTTTTCAGAGTCTTTAATCAAAGAATTTGAGAACTGTACTTATATAATATTCATGTGATTGAAATTAGATCACCACTCAGAAATGTATTCTGAGGCCAGGAGACTGCACTAGTCCCCAGTGCCAGAAAATTTAATCCTGATACTTTGGGATCCCATTTTTTTGTTTTTAACCACATGATTTCTTCCTTTTAGTGTACCTTTTACTACCTACAAATATGAAAAATGTCTCAAGATAAAATTTTCCTTTGCAAACTATCAGACACAGAGGAAGACATTTCATTAGGAGGTTATAACCATAACCAAAAATACTAAAAAGTGGCTTTTTAGTAGAGGAGGAAGGACAAGTGATGAAGAACCCCGGTAGTAGGAGCTGTGTGGGCCGATGGTGTCTAAGATGAACATGACGTGCATTCTAATATACAAGCCAGGCCGAGGAATTCCACAATGCACACCCAGAAGACACAGCAGACATAAATCAACAGGGTCTGATATAAAAATAGTGGTCATTGCATAAGTTGTTATATTGTAAGGGTCCCGCGAAACGTCGGAGAAAGAGACCACCAAGTGACCACTCATGCAATTGGCAGAAGGGGGATTTATTGAACCAGCATGCTGGGGCTCTGTGCCCACTCAAGAAAGGAAAGCAGCCCAGAGCCCCGAGCAGGGGCTGAGCACTGCTTAAGTACACTTTTTGGGGAGAGCGGAGGGCTTTGTATACATCAGAACAAATCATCATGAGGCGCGGGAAAATTGAACAACAACTCCTAAACATGATTAGTTCATTCATTGGCGGGAACAGGTCAGGCTGGAGTGATAGGTCATTCCTAAGGAGGGGGTTACATTTAAACTGATTGGTCCAGGCCCTGCAATGCCTATGTGCGACCACACAGAGCCCTTATTAAACAATCCAAATAGTCAGGGGAAATATTTACTGGGCAGTTCCAAGCATTGTCTTAACAGCTACAGAAATTTCAGGTTTTGCAGGTAGCATAGAAACCTAACAATACCTAATCCTTTACATTTTAACTCAGACCTTGCAGCTTAGAAACTTTACAACACCCGGTCTTTTACCATTTAACTTTTACGCTTTAACTTCAATTTCTTTTACCCTTACAATATAACATCTTGAAATTTGGGAGGGTTTTAGTTCATTCTTTACTCATAACATGTCCATTGAGTTACAAATGTATTTACCAAAAAAATTCATAAAATAATTCCAATAATGAAACATTCTCTACTTCGGAAAGTTCTAAAATGAACAGAATTCATGCACTCAGAGAAACTCAAGGAATTTCAAAATAAATAAGACTCTTAAAAAATACTGTTCTGTCGAAGCATTAGTGTTGATTTGCAAAGATTCTTTGTCATTTTTGTCTTTGTTGATAAAGATAAAAATGATTGATTGTAATGATAGACCCAACCTGATCTTTTCTTAAGATTGGGCATCTCGCCACAAAACCATGAAAAGATAATTTCGGCTTTACTATAAATTACTGCAAATTCTGAACCTGCTTGGAATGCCTGCCCGTGCCTTGAACTCACCCATGCCTGGCTCCCTGACCAGGTAGCAGCCCTCTCTGAAACTTAGTGACACCTCATAAATATTGGCCTTCCCTGGCCAGACAACGACCCTCTCTGAGGCTCTAATGGTCCTCATAAATTCTGATGTTGGGGCCAGCAAAAAAAAAAATGTAAACTACCACTAGTGTGATGCTTGTCAGAGTTCTGTTATCTGTAACCCCCCTTTGTGTAACTTTCTGGGCTATAAAGCTGGGCTGTAGGAAAGGTGGGGTGCTGTCTTGTTCCCGCCGTTTTGGGAGGGAGAGGCAGCCCGGCCGGTCGAAATAATAAGCTTGCTTTAATTTGATTTTAATTGGAGTCAGTGGTCTTTTCTTGCGTCCTGGTCTAACAGTAAATTGGCAGACAGCTGCCTGGCTCTGAGACTCTCCTGCACTTCCTGCTCCTCCCCACAGTACCCGTACGTCCATGCTGAGTGTGGCTGTCAACTCTTACTGAG